TGCCAGCCTACAGGCCTAGAAGTTGCTCCAAATAGCTGAGGTAATGACCTTTTTTAGGACTTGCGGAGCTGTAGGTTGCCAGCCTACAGGCCTGGAAGTTGCTCCAAACAACTGATGTAATGACTTTTTAGCACTTGCAGAGCTGTAGGTTGCCAGCCTACAGGCCTATTCGTTGCTGAAAAAATCTGCTGTAACTGGTGCAATGACTTTTTTGCAGTTGCAGGGCTGTAGGTTGCCAGCCCACATGCCTAGCAGTTGCTCCAAATCACTGATGTAATAACTTTTTGGCACTTGCAGAGCTGTAGGTTGCCAGCCTGGGCCTAGGGCCCAGGAGTTGCTCCAAACAGCTGATGTAAGGACATTTTTGCACTTGCAGAGCTGTAGGTTGCCAGCCTACAGGCCTAGAAGTTGCTCCAAATAGCTGAGGTAATGACTTTTTAGGACTTGTGGAGCTGTAGGTTGCCAGCCTACAGGCCCAGAAGTTGCCTCAAATAGTCGATGCAATGACTTTTTGCTCTTGCAGAGCTGTAGGTTGCCAGCCTACATGCGTGGAAGTTGCTCCAAATAACAGATGTACAGGATTTGGCTTGGCAGCTATTTGCATCTATTATTGTATAACTGTGAGTTGCCAGCAAACAGCCAGAAATACAATTATTGTATGCTACCCGCGAACCTATTAGTGAGGGAAGCAACGAAGTTCAGACTAACTACCAGTCAGGAACTCTTCCTGCTTTGCCAGTCATCCACATTTTAAGACTTAGATGTTCTATGATGTTGAGAACCATCCACACACACATCCTCCTTGTCCCGACCTCGTGCCCAAAATCCATGCGGATGGTTCCTTACGAGACCTCCCTCCCATGAAAGGGTCCTGGCCCACGGCCCCCGCGTCAAGATGATGTGGAAGGAAAGGCAGAAGACCTTCCGAGTAGGCCGAGACAGGACCCACGTAGTAGTCGAGACTTGGGATCTAAGGACAGTTAAACCGTAAGTCCATTCAATTTCCTTAGGCCTTAGTGGTGTTTAGTTTGTTTGTATGACCAACTCGAGTAGATTGAGATCCAACTGACCGGTATGGGAATCCTGTCATCCCCTCACACGACCGACCGATGAATGGACAACAGGGGATGCTGGTTTTCGAAGACCAGACTTTGGTTAAGGCATGAGATTTCAAAAAGAGTAAGGTGTTTAGTCCCCAAGTGAGTGGATAATGGCCACCCCTATCCTCCATTAAGCACCCCTTCGTGACTCCTGGTATGTACTTATTTGGTGACCTTGGAAAATCACATTCAGTAGGATGACAGTGGAATATGTGCTGCGTTGGCTAAGCTTAGCTTAGGATCCCATGGTAGGCTGCGTCCTGACGCTCCCAAGTTGCACCAGATGAAGGGTTAGTTTCTGCAGCTTCCATTGCGGACAGCGCCGGCGGTTGATGAACTTGACCATGCACACACACAAGCGGGGAGATGCTCAGGAGGTTTGGGCTTCTATGAATACTGAAGGATGATCAATGGCTTCTATAGGCTTCCTAGTCCTACAAAGGACATGACAAGGGCATGTGGGGAATCCATGGGCAAACTTGTTTCCGGGCAAGTTTATGACACGGAAATGGAGGGGGCAGTGCAGGGAACTGGTGTGAGGGGAAACCCGCAGAAGGGGAGCCACATGTTATTGACATTTTTGTTTGATGGCTTTGGGCAGTTTGTAACTGTATGATCGTGAGCATAGGGTGACGCCTCCTTGGTAAAGATACTTGGAAAGTCGGAGACTGTTTGCGAAGGCTGGAACCTCTCCACCGGCTGGGAATGGGGAGGGCAGGAACCTTGCCATACAAGGCTCAATCCAACATCCATGCTTTTGGTACAGTTTTTTGCTACCAAGCCTTTGAGGCCTATACATCCTACTTAGCGTTTAACATCGTTTAGCTATGTTTGTTTAACTATTTTCTTCGGCGCTTGAACCCTTTGATTGGTGTGCTCGATTGTGCTCTCGTTGTTGTTCTTGGAATGCTGGGCCGCAGCCGGGGTGCCCAACGTGTGCAGTGGTGGTTGGTAGTCTTTGGTCCATGAGTAGAGTGGGCGGCTCCCAGTAGTTGCAGTTCCATCAAAGGGACCAACTAGGATATGATGTTTGGTCTATGAAGTTGTTTGTTGCGCTTCGGAGAACCTCCAAAGCATCCTGGTCGTGTTTGGGATCGGCGGGATTCATCCACGGATTTTAGCGATCTGTCAATGTGTCTTGCTGGGGATCGTTCCGAAAGCTTGGCCCTGCAAGAACTCTTGCCTTGGCACTTCCCTGAAAGAATGATGCGGACAACCAAACCATGATTATTGTTTCAGGGAGGGTATGTATATAAATCCATTCTGAGCGTTCAATTCGCAGAAACTGGTTTGAGCACCACCCATTTGAAGCACGGAGGCCTCGGTCATCAATCTTCTTTGGCAACATATTTGCACAAAATCTGTGCCACAAAATCACACAAAGACACATCACCACGATCCGGCTGGATCGGGGAAGACCAGAGCCGCTTCGAGCTCCGGGGTTCCCGAGGTCGATGGACCAGCCGGGCTCGTTGGGCCGAAAAAACGGGCTGCGACGTGGGGGCCGAGCCCGTTGGGCCGAGCCCGTTGGGCCGGGCACGAGAGGAGAGGAGAGGGCACCAAACAGTCAGATGCCATCGGATTGATGCGATGAAGGGCTTTTTCGAAACGACACTCTTTTTTGCCAACATGTTGCCAAGCAACTGGGGGTATGGCGGGGGTGCTTGGAGGAGAAATACTCCACGGATGCTTAGTACGTGCATGGAAGATAGTTTAAGAATGTGTTTGACAGACGATTCTTTGCCGCAGGTATCGGATACCCCCCCCACTGGCTGGGATGATCGAGAATGATCTATAGGCACTGTTTGTGTTTTGAACTGGCCTTGTAGCTGCCATTTGGCTCTCGAGCACAGCAAACAAATTACCAAATGAGTACTTTTCATGTGTGGAGCTTGGGTTGGTGTCGTGCCCCCTGTGCACTACACTAAAAGGTTTTGCTTCTGGGGGGCAGCGCCCTTGCACTCGGACGTATGGATCGGGCAGTCAGATGCCTCGCCAGTGGCTCAACTAGTAGGATGATTCTTCAAGTCGCCCAAACTCTCAAGGTCAAGAAGTTTGTTTGGGTTTTGGGGCCGTGTCCCCTCCCCCACAGCCCACCTGAAACACTCCAACTTGCACCAGACGATTTGAGGCCGAAATAACTTTGGTTGCGCCCCAAGCCCGTGAGTGAGTTGTCCCTCAGGCCATCAGGGTTCTTTTGTTTCAAGGCTTTTCCTCTTCCTATAACAGGACAGCTAGACCATTTAGCTACTATAGATTCCATTCTTTCCCCAGTTCTCGCTGTTGACTTCGCTGTCCAGAAGAACTCCACCTACCCAAGAGCAAAGACTCCCACTCCACGCGGCCCCTTCTTCCGCGCGAACCTCGCGTCGTTGAACCCCCGCAAACCCCGCCAGCGCCTCCCCTGCCATGGGCGTGTGGGGCACGCCTGCGCCGGGCGCGGCGGGTGTGAAGAGACCCGGCCAATGAGCCTGGCGCGACGCTTTCAGCTGGCGAGGAGGGTCTGCCTCACATGCCGAGAGGACGGGAGAGGGAGGGGTCTAACGTCTAAGACATTGGGATGGAGTGTTGTTGAAGCCTTAGGACCAACTGATGCATGATGTATAAAATATCCCTTAGCTACCGATCTCATAAAACGCCTAGGCAACCTGTTGATCACCTTTTCCGGGCTTTCGCACGTCTTCGTTCCCCTTTTCTTGCCCGACACCTTCGTTGGAGGCCAAAGAAGAGACCCTTCCCAGCAACAGCCGCATGCGTTGCTCGACAGTTTGAGTGCTGATTGTTCGGAGCGGCCGGCGGCCGTTGCCGCTGGGGCCCAGCCCGGGCCTGGCTTTTGGCCGCAAAGGCCCAGGAAGAAAGAAGGATTTGGTGGACGTACGGTCGAGAGTCGAGGTTTGCGAATTGACCACTATATATATATATATCTCTCTCTCTCTCTATGTTGGTCGTGGTTCTTATCAAACATTCAGACTCAGAATCACACCAAGCGACCTCAAAACAGGGCTGGTTTGTTGTTCGTCTCAGCTCCTGTCCTGTCGCGTCCCAGCGCCGTCCCCGCCGGTCCCGCTTATCGCCCAGACGTCTCGTCGGTCGTGTCGTGTCTCATGACTCATCGTCTCAGGTTGGGTGGCGCTGGGCATTTTGAGTCTGGACATTTGCATCAGTCCCTTGGGCACCTGCCTCTCCGGACGACGTGGCGCCTGTGGAGACCGGACGGTGAGGGCGGTACGTGGAACGGGAGGGCGAACGAAGTGGACGGGGGGTACGGTGGCGTTGGGACGGAGGGGCGTGGAAGAAGTGATGTCAAGGGCTTTAGCTCGCTGTACAGCTTCTACTGCCCCTTGTGTTAGATGCAGCGCAAGTCTTTGAATCAATGGAATCTTGCTGGACAGGGGCAAGGAACACAGAGGGCCAAGTCCTTGAGGGCCCAGCTCTCCGCGGCGACCGTTTTGGTGGCCTAGGCTACGTGCCGCAGTACACCTTCGTACCCATCCTGCGGCAAGGGATCTTTGGCACCGATGCGATACGCGGCGAAGAGGCAGGGGTCATAGGCCATAGGCGATGAACGCGGAGGCGACTGCAGCCCTCTGAGGGGACTCATGCAGTTGTTCAATGTTGTTCATCTTCAACAGTTAGGAGGTGACGTGGTTTTGCACCCCTCTGAGCGTTCATGAAACATCTGGAATCTCCACGAATCCTCGTCCATCCAAGGATGCACGCTCTGCATGTGGATGAGGCTGCGATGAACTTCCTGTGCATCCTCTACGCACTGGCGCGGCTTGGGGGCTTTCACCACTTGACCCAACTCTTGCTTGCTTGACATGAAGTAGGGGCTCTGACCAGCCGCCAGCATGTGCATGCTCGTTCTGGACCCACCAGCTCCGGTTTCACCACCCACCCGCGACTCGCACGACGCGCACCGCGACGCGCACCGCGACGCAGCGGGCAGGTCTATGTGCCCGGCGCCTTCGTCACGGGACCGCTGGTGTCGGTGCTGGGGTGTCGCTGGACCTTTGTGCTGGCCACGCTGCTCATCGCACTAGGCAGGGGCGGAAAGCTGCAGGATTTGCTGATATGAGAGGCGTTTGTTTTTTCCTGGAACACAGCGATGGGTACCTAGACCTAGTGACGACCTAGTGGCTGTCCCGCAGACCACGCAACAAAAACACGGCTCACATGTTGCTTCATGATCTTCATGCCTAGCCAGTCGGTGAACTGTCCCTCAGACGTGGAAGTATTTGTTGGGCTAATCTGACAGGGGTATGGTCCGTAGCGGTCAGTCAATTGCTTCGACTCGCTTGCTATCAAGACTGTCAATATGTGAACTGGCAAAGTGTCCTGTAAACACTGCTGGACCGGAGGCTGTGCCTTGCGAAGTGCTTCTTGGACACTTGGCAGAGATGTCTTCCCCACCTCCCGGTGCGGGGAAGGTGGTGGTGTTTCTTGGGTAAACATCAATGAGAAGGGGCAGGTGCTCCGAGAAGCCCGCAACACCTCTAGAGACATGACGTTTGGGCCGGGCCATGTCTGGTTTCCCATGCGCCGCGTTTGCACCGTGCCACGGTGCCGGGGTTTTCACTCATTCACCTGGACCTTCACGGCGGGAGACCCGTGTGGACTGGCGCGGGTCGAGCGGAGCCTCAGGATCAGTCCGGTGGACTCCCATGGGTCGAGACGGCTGCTGGAGATGATGCTGCTTGGAGCGTGGAGCATGGGAAGCTGATGGAAGCTGCATAGGGATGCCATAGGGATGGCATAGGGCTTGTTAGATGGTGTGCTGTGGGGATAGTTGATGGTGCTTGTGAACTCTTGTGAGTAGAGAGTTCACAGTGGGGGTTGTGGCCAAAACTAGACTTGCTTGGTTTACCTCGCACTTTGAAATACTGAATATCTTTGAATCGTATCCTAGAGGGAGGGAAATGGCCGAGGGTATCAATGACTGAGGACAGGTCAACCAACTCAGGTATCCATTTTTGCCCCATGGAAACCCCATCTCCAGGGACCCACAGTGCACCAGAGTAGGTCGGAGTCGGGGTCTTCCGCTTCCTGTCGCCTCCGGACGACCTGATGAGGCCGGTGCCGAGCTGGATGGGCAACTCCGCCTTTGCGTCACCCGACGGGATGGAGCGAGCGGGGGTTTGGTGCTGGACCACAGCATGTTTGTGCGAGGTTGGAATTATGTTGGGATTGTTTGGATGGGTTTGGGCTCTTGTGAATGTAGAATATGTAGTCAACAAAAGGTGTATGGAAAGAGCTGTGAGCCGTTGGCAAATTGGACTGTTTGCCGAAAGCCTGTACTGTGCAAAGCAACGTGTTTGAGGTATAGAAACTTAGAGGGGATGGGGTTTGAACAGAGCCAAACGCATTCCAATGCATCAATCTTGCACGCTAGCCATGATATTCAACCAACCTGAAAACATCTAAAGCGTTCGCCGTCGTTCTTTCCAGCATGCTGTGCAAGCGTTAGACCCTGTGACTGACGTGGACGTCGTCCAAACTGCCTGGGCGACCAGGTATTTGCTCATCGGGCAGGGCATTTGTGCCCTAGGCAACGCGGCGGGTGTGTGGGAGGAACGCGTCGGGTTTGCAAAGCAACCCTGGCCAACCGGGAGTCACCAGTTATCACAGAGTGAGAGGGGAGGAATCCAAACAGAAGAACAGCACTGAAGAAAGAACAAACCACCCATTGTGTTTTGTCCTTTTAAGAAAAAAGGACACAGAACTTGATCCCTTGGCAATTCTTGGGCCAAAGGGAAAGATGCCATGCCTTCTTTACGGTGTTTGCATGTGTTCACTCCTCGAGAACCTCGTATAGGTGCAGACTACGCATGACCAGGGTAAGCTGATAATCATAATTAAATTGTATTGTACAATATAAATCCTATTCTTTAATAGCATATATTCACAAGATCTGTTTCTCAAGAATCAATCTTCCCAACAAACAAAGACCGAACTCCAAGATTCCTGCCCTGCACCCAAACCGTCCAGACCAAGGGCTTGACGTTTTAGGACCTCCTTTCCACCTCTGTTCCTCCGAAACCCTCCGGTATAGTCCGCTCCTCCCACTCTGCACCCCTCCGGTGCTCCCCTCCCCGCGGTTCCCCTCCCGGTTCCCCTCCGTCCCCCGGGTTCGCACGGTTCGTTCGCACCTTCGTTCCTCCCATCCGCCTTCGCCCGAGGCCAGCCGCTGCTGGTGAACTGCACCTCGGAGATGGGCGCCGACTGGTTCGCGCCCAGCGACCGCCCGGCGGCGGCCGCCCGGCCGAGCGGTACGGGCCTTCCCGAAGGGACGGAGGGTCGGATGGATGGGCGTTGCAGGTTCGGATGGATGGGGAGGACAGGTGATCAGAAACCTCAGAGGTGTCAACTTGTGACGAGACCATACAAGACCTGCTTCTGATCCGCCAATGGTGAGGGGGGTGTTTAAGGGGGACCTGGCAGATACATGCAAAGTACAAACCTACACCATCCCACGCCCAGCCGTCTTAAAAGTTTCAACCCGGTTCCACAAATGCGTGCAAAGCTACACCCGTCCATCCTTAACATCTTAATCTGTTCCACTTATAACTACTTCTAGTTTTTTGATCATCGATCTTAGGCCATGATCTCCAACTTGATGAACTTCGTCGGGGGTTCCCTGTCCTTCGTCCTGCCACCACTCTTCGTGGACGACAACCCCAGCAACTTCGTGGCGACTTGGCGCATCAAGGACACGGACACCGAGGCTCCCGGACTTGGTTCAAAAAGGAGCATCTACAGGAAACAGGATATACCCAAGGCATGATTTCATGTAGATATGCAATTCAAGGCAAAGTCCATCAGAATCCATTGACGGGCATGTCATGTGCTGGAAACTAGAACGTGGCTGGCCTTGTATCCCAACATATCCCAACTGATTGTCACCATCTCCTGGCATCATTGCAGCGCGGCTTCGATCGGGTTTTGGGTTGACTATAGTCACCAAATGTCACGAAGACCACGCGGATTCTTCAACGTGCAGAATGGATCAAGAAAACAGGACTCGTAGTTCCGAGGTGAAACACTGCCGCAGTAGAATCGCACCAGAAACCGGTCCTTACATGTCCTCATATAATCTTATTATTATAGCGAATCCCCTACCTGTGGTTGCTTGAAGTGCTTCGAGCTTGATGTTGGTACAGTTGCGACTTTCGTTAGCCCTTTTGTTGTTCGAGGAAAGAGGCGCGACTCCTTTTTGCGAATTTGAGGGTTATGAGCCCAAGATAGCGCCTTTTTTGCCATGTCGGAAAATTCGAGTGCTCGGACACCGGAGTCTGGGCAGAAGGCATTGGAGGACATCCAGCCGGAGCACGGCGCCTTGGTTCGGCCAGCAGGGCCGCCGGTTTCGCTGGGACCGAATATCAATCCTTTTTGGAGCGAATCGGCCCGTGAAGAGGCTCTCCTAAGGGCATGCCGCCCTGCACATCTTCCTCGAGAAGGGCAGGAGACGACTCCACCACCAACTTCCTCGTTTAGCCCACAGAGAGACCCACCTGAGGCATTCAGAGCCATGATGCAGAGCCTTTGGCAGGAGAATGCACGTCTCTGGTCGGAAAGGGAGGCATTCGTGAACCAGGGGATGTGGAGACAGCAGGCTGGTTCGTATGGACCCCAGCAATCCTGGCTTGGCAATGTCCTTGGTGAAGGTTTGGGGCATGAGAGAAGTGGAATGGGTGCCATGATGGAGGTCATGAAGTCCACGTTTGGCTCCGGTGCAGTTCCAAGGGAGCGGGGCATGCTAGGTGCGTTGTCAGCGCCGGTGGAGTCTAGTGGTGGGGGAATTTTTCAACGGCAAGATCCGGGTGTTCTTCATGGGCTGGGTTCTTTGTCGAGGGGAAGTTTGATGGAATTCTTCAACATGGTTTCCGGCGGAGGGCCGATGAGTTCGGGGCTTGCATTTGGAGGAGTTGACCTTGGGAGAAGGGCAGCTGGTCCAATTGAATCAGGCCTTCCGTCTGAGAGGTCAGCCAGAGCTCCAGTTCCGGGAACCATGGAGCGGGTGTCGGAGAGTCAGCGGGAGAGCAGAACTGGTCAAGAAAGTGGTCCACCTGAACCTCAAGGGGGTCCTAGTGTTGCTGCAGGGCGTCCAGGTGACAGTGGAGAAGGTGGTAATGACCAAGGTGGTTCTGGTGTTCCTCCTGGTGATCCTCCTCTTGCCCGAGATTCGAATGGCAATGGAGAGAATGGTCGGGATGGATGGAGACCGTCAGGGCCTGGCTTTCCTGGTGGAGCGGGAGGTTTTCCCGGTGGTTTCGGAGGGTTTCCTGGTGGTGATCCTCATGGGCAAGGTGGATTTCCTAATGGCTTCTTTGGTGGAGGACCTCCTGGTGGAGGTGGGTTCCCGCATGGTTTTCCTGGTGGCCCTCCAGGTGGACCTCCTGGAGGTGGAGATGGTGGGGCGCCTGCTGGACCATTGGGGCCTGGAGCATTTGGTCAGTTTCCAGCTTGGTTGGGAGGTTTGATGGCCCAACAAGAGTCGGTTAGAGCTGTGGACCTGCCGACTTTGCCTGAACTATCCGAGTCAGAAGTGGGACCGCTTTTGGCTGGTGATTGGTTGACCACAATTGGACCGTTCTTGCGAGACATGAGCACGAGTTCAACATGGTGGTGGGATGAAGTGCTGCGAGTGGCTGGAGCTTTGTATCGAATGTGGCTGGAGTCGGAACCAATGGAGAGACTTCGTTTGGTGCCCATTTCACCTCCAGCTTTTCAGACACCTCCGTGGCTCAGGATTGAGCAGCGGGGATGGGTGGGCTCTTGAAAGCATTGCCGGAATCTTTGAGGTCAGAACTGGTCGCTCAGAGAGAGGTCAGCTCCATCGGGATCATGTTCAAGGTGTTGAGGGTGTACCAACCAGGAGGCCTTGGAGAGAGAACCACCCTCTTGAAGCAGCTCGTGGATCAGAAGGTGCCTTCGCCATTGAGTGAATGGATGCTCGCTCTACGATCATGGAGAAGGTGGCTCACGCGAGTGCAGGAGTTGGGCATTCAACCCCCTGATCCTGTGTTGTTGCTTGCTACGTTGGATAGGTTTGCTGTGGGCTTGGCACGTCATTCCCCACAAGTCGCATTTCGACTGCAGATCACTCGAGCCGCTCTTCGTGTTGACACTGCACCAACGGAGAGGAGCATTCATCAGTTTTCGGAGTCTTTGCTGGCGGAGGGAGAGGCTGTTTTCCATGGAGGATCATCTCTTCCTATCAAAGAGTCGGTCAAAGTGAAGGCGATGGATGGTGAGCAGGTGCAGACGAAGGAGGACTCCGTCAAGAAGGACGTCAAGGAGAAGCCCAAGGAGGGGACAGACCCAAAAGATGCTCGTGATGGAAAGAACTCCAAAGGGGGCAAGGCAGATTCCAAGGGCAGCAGAGATGATCAAAAGGGCAACACTTCGGAGAAGCCAGTTTGCCGATACTTTCTGTCCGATGCCGGTTGCAAGAAAGGTCACACTTGCACCTTTCCTCATAAATGGAAGGGGGTGTCAAAAATGGGAAGATGCTGGAACTGTGGTTCGTCACGGCATATGAGGTCTGAATGCCCAGTCAAGGAGGCTCCCCGTGTGAAAAAGGAGGGTCTGGATGACAAGAAGAGCAAGGAGGTGGAGACCAAACCTGGGGAGGCACCGAGTTCGGGTGCTGGGGCTTCGGGAATGTTTCATCCTCCGGCAGATCTTGATCCTGCTCCTGCTGAGGCATTGGTGAAGGAAGCTGTACAGCTGCTCAAGTCATTGCGGCCGTCGATCAGAGCGGTTACAGTGTGTGCGGTCAACAAGGACCAAGGGCATCTCCGTGCACTTTTGGATGGAGGTGCGACCCACATCCTCAGGCCAGCCAAGTCCAAGGCTGAGTTTGAACAAGCCGTTCCTATCCAGGTGGAATTGGCTGCTGGTGTTGCAACCCTTCGGCAAGTCCAATCAACGGGGACCCTAGTCACCGATTTTGACACCCAGCTGATCGTGCCGCTTGGAAAGGTCGTCAAGTTGGGGTACAAGGTCATGTGGGAAGGAGAGAGCTTTGAGTTGGTGGACCCCACGGGGGTGAAGGTGGAAGTGGTTTTGGAAGCTGGTTGCCCAACGGTAGATTTGACGGTTGCTGGTCGGCTGGTTGAGGAGCTGGAGGATCAGGAGTTGGAGATGAGTCGAAGGGTGCGAGCGCTGAGGGCTGGTGATCCTGGAGATTTGTCCCCGAACATTTGGAGATGGCTTGTGGATTTGAGGAAGATGTGGCCGGAAGTCCCGGATGAATTGCTGGCCAGGGTTGTTCCCTCTGGTCAATGGAGTGGGGAGAAGGTTCCTTTCAACCGCCATCAACGGAAACGCTTCTTCTCGGCCGAGTCAGTGGTGATCCATTTGTTTTCTGGGCCGGAGCAAGCTTGGTGGAGGAAACGGTTGGAGTCTCATACAAGGGCAGTGATTTGTGTGGACAAGTTGGTTGACCCGTCGCAGGATCTCCTTTCTGACCAGTTGGCTAGTTTTCTGGCCGACTTGTGTGAACGGGGGTCGGTGGACGTCATCCTGGGAGGACCTCCACGCAGGACGGTTTCCAAGCTCCGCTTTCGACGACCAGGACCGCCACCGTTACGGGCAAGATCAGGTCCGGAGAGGTTTGCACTGGAGGCGTTGTCAGACCTTCATCGAGACTTGGCTTGGAATGATGCAGTGCTCTGGATGCGACAACTCTGGTTGTATGCGCTGGCTTCTGCTGCTCGAACAAGGGGGGTGCTATTCCTGAAAGAACATCCTCGGGACCCGGAGGAGTACAAGGACCGAGAGGATCCTGTGGAGTACCCTTCGTTTTTTGCCTGGCCGGAGTGGAAAACCTTCATGGAAAAGTTCCTCATCCGGGAGGTTCGCCTAGACTTAGGAGCTTTGGGTCATGAGCGACGGAAGCCTACGACTCTTGGCACCAACGTCCGGTATCTACATCGACTTGAAGGTCTATCGGATCATCGGCGACCTGGTGATCTTCCTGGTGGCGTTGGGGGGTTGGATCAGAGGATATCCACCAGTCGGTCTTGGGCGGCATGGCCTGAGCCCTTTAAGATCGAGATCATCAAGGGCATCCTCCTAGAGTTGGAAGGGGGCAAGATATTGGGAGATGGGGGAGAGTCTATCCCACAGGCGGCAAAAATGACAACGGAACAGTGGCGGCAACATGTCTTGAACGATCATTTGCCGTACTCTCGGGAATGTGCCACTTGTCTTCAAGGAAGTGGGAGAAGCCGCCCTCACAGGAAGGTCCAACATCCAGATGCCTTGACGTTGAGCGTGGACATTTGTGGTCCTTTCAGGCCGGGTCATGATCGATTGGTGGAGCCAAGATACTTCATGGTGGGTGTCTTCGCTATCCCTGTGCGCAAGGTGGAGGGAAAGGTCAGCCCACTTCCGTTGAGCCTGGAGGAGACTTTGGGTGATCGACGTGAGGAGGGTGAGCCAGATGGTGAAGAGGTGCTGCCGGCTTTGGAGGAAGAGGAGCTGGAAGAAGCAGAGAGGAAAGAGGAAGATGCCAAGCGCTTAGAAGAGTGGATGAAGTTAGAAGTGGAGGCTGAGGAGATCGAGATCCAGAACTACACCATGGTGGAAACCCTTGCGTCTCGAAAAGCGGCAGAAGTCAAGGCTTGTCTGGCCAGGATGGTCGCCCGACTGAAGTATTTGGGCCTTGATGTGAGAAGGGTGCACAGTGATGCTGCTGGTGAAATGAGGGGCACAAGGAGATGGTGTGAGGATCGAGGCATCTACCGGACCTTCACTTGTGGAAGTGATTGGAAGGCCAATGGAAGAGCAGAAGCCGAGATTGGAGTGATTCGCCGCGCCATCAACACCTTGATCAGGTCCTCTGGTGATGGAGAAGACTATTGGCCTTTGATGGCGAGGCATGTTGGTGAGCGAAGAGGCCGTCAGCAGCTGGGCACTTTGGGCTTTGTTACGCCCCAATTGCTTCCGTGGGGGCAGAGAGTTATGGTCACCACGAAGGGCTGGGACGACTTCCAAGGTCATTGGAGAGCACGGAAGAAGCCGGGCTTTGTGAGAGGACCAGATCCCAACATGAGCCTCACTAGCGGGGGGCATTTGGTGGAGGTTGAAGACGGGAAGTTCATTCGGACGGATGACATGGTCCGCATCGGCGACTCTGAGGTCAAAGACGTGGTGGAGTTGGCGATTCGGGATCAACTTGGACAGAACGGTGCAACCAAAGAGGAGATTGACAGAGAAGACTTCTCTGGCCAGAATTGGGGGAGTGGAGATTCAGCGCAGACTGCTGAGGGGGCAGGACTGGGCGAATCAGGAGTTCAAGAATGTGGAGGTGCTTCCCATGGAGTTCAGTGTGGCCATGATCGCGGACATGGATATGGAGAATGCCCTCATGGAAAGGTTTCTGCAGGAGTCGGAGGCCGTTGTGAGAAGATTGGAGGCAGGTGCAGCTGCATCGGAGTCGGAGGAGGAAGAACTCTTTCTTCAGACCAGGACTATCGGGCTCAGTGAGGTGAGAAGGACGTTGCCTTTGTGGATCCCATCACTGAAGGAGGAGATCGGGAACTTTGACTCCAACCAGGCCATTCAACGAGTCTCGGAGGAGGAGGCCATGTGTCTGGTGAAGGAGGCGGAGGACAAAGGGCAAAGAGCAGAAATTATCCCAGGAATGGGAGTGTTCACCAGAAAAGCAGGTGACGGAAGGAGACGAGCCCGCATTGTTTGCTGCGGAAACCACATGGAGTCCCGCACTGGTGAAGAGGTCTACGCGTCAGGAGCTGATGCCACTCAATTGCGGTCCACACTTCGGGTCGCCTCACTACGGGACTGGCAGTGCTTGTCGCTTGATGTGAAATCGGCCTTTCTCCTAGCCCCGAAGGCTCAGGGGGAACTGGTCATCGTCAAACCACTAAAAATCTTGGCTGAAGCTGCCTTGGCCCAGCCTGATGAGCACTGGGTCATCACCTCTGCCATGTACGGTCTAGTCACTTCTCCGAAGGACTGGAGTGTTTACAGAGACTCTGAACTTCAGAAGATGGAGGGGAGGGTCACCACCCAGGTGAAGGAGAAGGTGATGAAGGAGGTGGGCTTTGGCTTTCGCCAGCTGGAGGATGCTAATCTGTGGGCGATTCAGGAGTTTTCATCATCTTCTGGAGCCAGGAGCTGGGGGGCCGTGTTGGGCTATATGATAGTGTATGTCGACGACGTGCTGATGGTCGGCCCGAAAGAAGTCACTGACCAGGCGTCCCAGATGATTCAACGGGTGTGGGAAACATCCAATCCAGAGTATGCGGTGCCGGGAGGGGCTCCTATGCGTTTTCTGGGCATTGAGATCCAGCGATTCAAGGACGGCATGTACTACCTTCACCAAGGTTCCTATGTGAGGGAAGTGTTGGAGAGACATGGGGGTGGTGGCACCATGCCGTTCATCAAGGTTCCGAAAAAGAAAGAGGAGGGCAGTCCTTCACTTGCTCGTGTAAAAGAGGCACAGAAGATCACGGTCGAATTGTTGTGGTTGTCCGGACGAACCAGGCCGGATATCTCCTGGGCTGTGATGAAAATGTCTCAGTGGGCAGTGAAACGACCAGTTTGGACGTTGGAGTTGGGAGAAGCGATCCTTGCGTATGTGCGGGGCACGATGGACTTTGGGCTTCACTATCCCATTGGAGTTCCGGTTGACTCAGATCCGGAGCTGGCTAGATCAAAACAGCGAGGACCTGGCACCATTGAGGTGTTGGTGGATGCTTCTTTCAGGTCAGGGGACAGTCACAGTGTCTCCGGGTCCATCATCCTTTTGGCAGGGTGTCCTATTCAGTGGGAGAGCAAGAAGCAGGGCTTGATGGCCTTATCCACGGCAGAAGCAGAGCTCTCAGCATTGATTGAGGGTTTGCAGTCAGGGAGATCAACACGGGCCTTGGTTGAATTGTTGCTTGAGGAGGTGACTTTGGAGCTCTACAATGACAACAGGGCAGCAGTCATTTTGGCCTCGGGCACTGGTGGGGGATGGAGAACTCGTCACCTACGGATCCGTGCTCATTGCCTGGCTGAGGCGATCAAGGTGGGTGAGGTTTCTTTGAATCACAGAGCAGGGTCTTCCTTATGGGCTGATGCACTGACGAAGTCTCTTCCTCCGTCGTCTTTGGAGAAATTCTGCCAAGGGGTCTTCCTACGTCTCATTTCCAATGGTCCTACGGTGGAGAAGAAGGTCCTGGCTAATGAGGAAGTGGGGAGGGTGTCGAGGTGCATGGCTATGATGTTGACAGGGGCATCTTTGCTGCCGGTGGGTGGTGCTAGCGAGGTTTGCGAGAAGGGTGATGCAGATCAAGCACCGGGCGGATCAATGTTTGGAGACCTGGGATGGTTTGTCTTCTTAGCAGGCTTGGTGTGTTTGCTGCACATTGTGAAGGACTTTGGCGTCAGCATGATCCAGCGTTTGATGTCTGGAAGGGAGGAGGTCAAGGTGAAGTTGTTGTCTGAGGAGGCAGTGATGCCATCGAAGGGTTCTGAAGGAGCAGCAGGATGGGATCTATGTGCTTCAATGCAGTGCCACCTGGCTCCAGGTGAACGTCGCCTCATTTCGACTGGAGTGGCTGTTGAGATTCCAAGGGGGTGCTATGGACGCATTGCTTCGCGGAGCTCTATGGCTTCCCAGGGCATCGACGTGGCTGGTGGGGTGGTAGATGCAGATTACAGAGGTGAGTTGAAGGTCATTATGGTCAACCAAGGTGGGGAATCCAGGACGTTCAACGTGGGGGACAGAATTGCTCAATTGGTTGTGGAGAGGATTTCATTGGCACCTTTTGTCAAGGTAGATGACCTGTCTACAACTGCTCGAGGCTTTCAAGGCTTTGGGAGTTCGGGTATAGCAGTGAAGAGTGTCCGGGAGGCGTCAGGTGGGCTACATCGGGAAGGTGAACTTCTACATGAAGGTGGTCTACATGACCGTGGGCTTCCTGGGCATGAACGTGGCTCCTCTTCAGGTGGGGAAGGCTTGCTGAGGGTCCGAGAGAGCGGAAGAGTGATCACTTCTGGCAGAGTTCCAAGCAGCATATTCTTTGAGACCTTCACTTCGAGGGGCGGGGAAACTATGCAGGAGTTTCTGAGGCGCTTGAGGGAGGGCGAACTTCAGTGTTTTGCCTGGCTCTTTGCTGATAGTGTGCTCCGTTTTGTGGGCGAGATGCCTTTGAGCGGTGCACCGCATGAGGTGATGGTCGTGTTTCCCGGGTCGATTGTGACCATGAAGATTCACCGGCATGCCACGTGGAGGAAGAAGCTGTATGACAGTGGCATGTCCACGCCGCCAGCGTCGCAAGGTGTGGCATCGGCGGTGATCACGTTGGCTTGGCTGGAAGATGGGAGAAAGGTGGTTCGTTCCGATGCGAGAAAAGGCAGCCATGGAATGCACTATCTCCAGCAACGCTGGATGGGCTACAGCATCCTGTTTCGGGTCTCCGACATCTCCGAGACAGCTGCTGGTGATGGCACGGGCTCGTGCTAAGGTGTGACGCATTTTTCGGCTGGAAAGAGATGAAGTGAAGAGTTGCATTTTTTCTTGAGGCTGGTCAAAAGCTGTGAACGGGGCTTGAACTTTGGTACGCTGCAACATTCACAGTGGGGTGAATGAAAAGGTGTCACTTCGAAAGCTGCTGTTTTTAGATGGCCGATGACTTAGTGTCTCGAGTGAGAGTGCAAAGGGCTTGAGCTGGGACAAACATGTCCATTTTTGAATGTGAATTTTTCAGTCAATGGTGGGAAGAAAAAACACCATATATGTTTGCCGGGATTCAATGTCCTGGAAAATCCAGGAGGGGAGAGCGAATCCCCTACCTGTGGTTGCTTGAAGTGCTTCGAGCTTGATGTTGGTACAGTTGCGACTTTCGTTAGCCCTTTTGTTGTTCGAGGAAAGAGGCGCGACTCCTTTTTGCGAATTTGAGATTATATATACATCGTATTGTTTATCATAATACGTGGCCATATGTTGAATACCCCCCCGCAACGTGCACCCTGAGAATGGACACGTGGATAACCATTTATATACAACCTAGTGATAGGACGTAGTGGTTTTGGGTTCCACGTTGATCTGTTTCGGGGAGGCACGGGAGCGCGGGAGCCATGTAGGTTGTTCTCACACCTCGGAGACCGCTGTCAGCTGGTGTCGTTCATTCAGACCGACTCGCTGAGGAGATGAACGCACAAATTTCATCTTTGCTGAACTTCCAGTTTCACTCGGCGCTCCTCGTCACACGAAATGACAGATCACAGCGCAAATGCGTGAGGGGTTCATGTGAGGAAGCAGATGTGAGGAAATGGATGGACGCATCACCGAGGAAAACCCCATACTCAGAACGGGGGGTGCTGGACTTTTGGTTCGCAGTGACATTTCTCATACACTCAGCTCATTGAGTTCTTCTCGAATGTACACGAACTGTTCAATGGCTTTCTCCAAGTCCCCAAAAGAGAATGTCTGAAACATCCTGAGACTCTCTTCTGAGGCCAGGTCTTCACAGGTCTTTTGGATGAATCTCCCGTTGTCACGGCAAGGATGGTGGCCTTCGTGCTCACCCTTTGCCTGTACCGAGACACCGGGCCCTTTGCGAAGGCTGGTGTGCATGTACCTGTCAGATCCTGTCACATGCACTTACACATGCACACACAGACTGCTGTAGGTACTATCTTGTGCCATGTCTTTGGTGCCTTCCCGGGGGACGACCGGTGGTACGGCCCGCGCACGACGGGTACGGTGGTACTACGCGTCCGGTTTCCGTCCGGTTGGCCGCGCAGACCGCAGAGCACCGGCCGCCAATGAACTTCGCTGCGGAGGTGCGGGGTTGGGGGGGTCGGTCGAACACGGACCTTTCTCGGCGGTCGTTGAAGACGCGGCTTTTCTAGAAGGAAAACCATGGGAACTTCAGGTGTCCATTTATAATATGTCTTTAAATCAGGTGGAGACATGTGGAGCACTTTTTGGGTGAAGAGGCTTTTTGGGACATGATAGCATGGAGAAGAATGGCCCAGCATGGCTCCTTTGCAGCCATTTTTCAAAACAGGTTTCACTTGGTTTCCCTCAGCGGAGCAGAGTTGAGCAAGGTCTGGTGACTTGTGCCTGTGGCATTTTTGGATGCTCAAACGGCTCCAGTTGAAGGTGTCCTAAGCACGGCTGGTCATTCAACACCGCAAAAACAACACAGCTTGCCACAAAACCTGCGGAAACGGACGTCGCTCGATCAACGTGCCCAGTCGCACATGAACCGGCCATTCTCAGTGCGACGAAATGCGCCCAGTGTGATGGAGCGTTCAGGTCAAAGGAATCTTCCGGAAAGCGGACTTTTGGATCATCAATTTCCAGCGCCCCGGATGGGTTTGGAAGGGTTTGGGGGGTTGAAGCTGCGGTTCCATCGACGGGATGGTGGGGGACTTCTTGGCCGGTCAGCTCATGGATGTGCAGATCAAGCGCCCAGTGATGAAGACGGCATCCCCAGACAGCTTGTGTTTGATGGACTCCGTATGGATTGCGGCCATGATGGAATTATTCAGTTTTACATTGCCCCCCATTCTCCCACTCTCTTGCACTCTGTCGCACCGGTCTCCATAGATTCTCTAGTTGAAAAAAAAGACCGTCTCCACGCACGAGCTGAGGTTTATGATTTACATCTCCATCGGCCATGCTTTTGATGCAGTGGAGGGCTCCCTGCTGGAGAACTATGGCAGCTTCACTGCCTGGAGTCGTTTTTCTCGCGTTTTGCCCGCGAGATGCGGGCAATTTGGGGCGGTTTGAGACTTGGGTGGTGCCAGTGAGAACCAAGAATCAAGAATTGACAAGCATAGAATCTAAATCAGTCTAAATGAGTTTGAATACTCCAAGAAATAGAGGGCCCATGCAAAGCACATATATCAACCTGAACAACCAAATGTGAACATATACTATAGGTGAATGTACATGACCAACGCGGTGATTGAATGGTCGGATGCTTCCCCAGAAACATCAACACATGTCCTAGGTCCCAGACCCACCCCAACTCATCAAGAAAACATGTTTGATTCCGCCAAAAACATATTATATATACACGCGCAAAACAAACACAACATCTCCCAAGCCGCTTGGATTCTCCCCCTTTCCGCACACGTGAAGGCTACAACGCCTCCTTGACGAGCTGGACGGCCATGGCCTGCGCGGTGACGTCCATTTTGAGCACCTCGGGCCGAGCCGCCGGTGGGTCCTACGGTGGGTCTGGCCGCGGTCCCTTTGCTCCACCAATTCGGTGCACCGTGATCTACATCCCGATGATCTTAGGCTGGGCTCAGGAACGGAAAACGACCTGTCGACTGACCGTTTTTCATCCGGTTCGCAGCAGGTGAAGCACCCGCGATCGCATCAGTAGCTTCGACGTCGATCGGAGCTTCCGACGGAGCTTCCAGCGTCAGCGTCGATGTCCATCGGTCCATGAGTGTTGCTCGCAGCGTTGGCCATGCGATGGAGTCGAGATAATCCCGTAGATAGCAACCCAACATTGTAGCTAGGCGGTCCGTACTGGTCAGTCCCCCCGAAAAAAACACTGTACTGACCGAGGTCCTAGTACAACCGGGTGACAGATTGAAACATTTTTGAAACCTTAAAGCTCGTTTGAAGGAAACATATGTTACAGGAACTGGAACCGTCGTTCAGGTGTCCGGTCGATTCTTTCCCAGAAGGACCTTCCGAGTGTCCTGGAGCACGCATCGAAGTGAGGCACCATGGTGGAGGCGCGGTGTATCACTTCCGCAGCCTATTACCAGGCGCGAGCCGGAACCGCTTCCGCCGCGGCTGCGCCGAGCCCCGCGGTGGCCGGCTGACGGTGCGCCCGGTGTGGTTTCGGCGTCTTTGGGGAGGAAGGAAGGAGCTGGCCGAACCGGAACCGCACTGTTGGGTGAAGGATGGCAGACCACAAGAGGATGGCAGGTGATTCGAATCAATCTGACAGACGTTTTTTACATGACGGGCTGCTATGACGGGCTGACCCGATTCGATGCTCGAGACTCGACCTGTGTCACGACCTGCGCGGGTTTCGCTCGCAGGCGGCTCTCTTGATCTCCAATGCCTTCATGGCGATTTCCCTCCTCATGGGCTATATGTGCGGAGCTGTGAACATGGGCAGGGATTCTCTTGATGGAAGACAATCCGAACAGAAGAGCAACACCTGCCCTTCACCACATGTACATGCTTCCGTCCTCCTCCGTCCTCCGTGCTCTTCACCGGTGCGGTGACGTCGCACGAGGTGTTTGCACTATGGCTGGTCTCCGGGCATGTTCATCACGGCCGTGGGCATCATGGGCTTATCCACCCCAGGAGAGTCTCCACATGTCTCTGCGTCGTCGATGCCGCGAGATGGCCGCGAGACCACGAACGGAGACACGAGAGAGAACTTGGGGTGAGACGCAAAAGGTTCACTTGAAGCCAGGTGAAGGGAAGGTTGAAGTTTGGTGTTGAAGTTTGAGATCTGAAATTGATGCGAGAAATCGCAGCTGTATGATTAGTTTGGATGGACACCCTCTCCATCCCCCTACCTGTCGCTCAACATGTTTCTGGATGAAAGAAGGAATGTGACTACGTGTAGTGTAGTAGTGTAGGACTGGTGGGATGGTGAGAATGATTTGACTTCATGATGCGTTGTCTTTTTTTTGAACTGCAAATTCCAATCGCCGATTCTAAAGCAGACATGGCAACTTGTCCGTTTTCCATGAGAGCAAACAAAGAAAAGGGTAAAGTTGAGAACTTCTCATTTCCTAGTAAAGCAAAGGGGAGGCCCCGAAGCCCGCGCCAGGATGGGGCTGTTCCGCCGAGCTGGGCTCGGAGGTGCCCTAAACCCGCGCGGTTGGCTTCTCAGGGCCGTAAGAGCTGGGAGTCCAGTCGACTTTAGATGACCCAAAAAGGACTTTCCTTTACATTTGCGGGTACCAAGTATAGTCTTTGAACTTCTAGGGTAGGGCATTAGAGCTGGTTGGAGTCGGAGTCGGAGTCTTCTTGATGTCTTGTTGTTGCCAAAACTACCACCAGTTGACCAGTTGACCAGCCCATCTTTACAGAGGAAGCTGCCCCGCCCCATCCCGGAGAGTCGTGGAAGCATCGAGCAGAGTGCTCAGGGGCGCCCCACCCGATGCCCGACCACCCTTCGGGCCGACGGTCGGGGCATCCTGATCGATTTCCTTTGTTTTATTTCTACCACTGCTGGGCGACCAGCACCTTAGAATCGAACAATCAAGTGCTCCTCCAGTGCAACCCCCCGGTGTGTCCTCGATTCGATGGTCATTCAAACATAGAATGAGCATTTGATGAAGTCAATTAATTTAATCTTCCTTTCCACGGCCATTCAAGGAGACCTCAAAGAGGTGGTGCTATCCTGAGGTGCAGGGTCCACAGGCAGAGACGCCGCCAGGGGGGAACCACTCGTGTCCGTGTATTTGATGGTGAACAGCACGGTGCAGGTCTGCTTCCCCGCACGGGAAGCCACGGTGAACAGCTTGCTGGAGGCACATTTGATGTGGGGCACAGCGACTCGACGATTCGGTGAAGCGTGTCACTTAATTCCCAGACACTCCACGTATGCCATATGCCTACATTGACCCCCAAACCCACTCCAATGTAGGCATATATATATATGCATATATGGCATACATGATACATGGAGTGCCTGGGTATAGACCTCCAAATAGATAGAAAAGTTTCCATCCCTTTCAAAGTGCCTTGGACACCGTTTCTAAACGAAAAAAACTGGACCACGATACTGGATGCGGCTGGGTGCAGAAGTGTAAAGGAAAGACCATCGCTTCCACTCGACCGTCAGGGACCGGAGGGCCTTGCACGTCGACCGTGGAACCGTCGACGTGTTGCGGTGGTCGCCGGCAGGCCTTCAGCAACATGGCCGGCGTGGCATCCATCGCTCCTCGGACGATTCGGACGATTCGGACGGGTGGATGGCGCGAGGACGGATGGATGGCCCCCCACGTCTCGCGTGGCACAGAATCGGTCCATGCGGGCTGGGCAGGCTGGAGGGGGGGTTGAGTCAAGACATGTCAAGACTCACTTAGATCATGCATTGAACGGTGTTGAACGTATCATGATCTATCAATCAATTTCTATCCAGATGCGGTTTGTGAGGTTTCCTGGGATTTCCTGGCATAACGATACGGGGCTCCTGGAAAGGATTTTCCCTGAACAATACCCTATTTATCCCTATTTGACAGTGCTGCCAATTGCCAAAGAACTGGGGGGGGCGTTTGAATCCTAAATACAAACACCCTAAACATCCCTGAGGAAATGATGCCAGCAGCAACTTATAATAATTAACACATTCAGTTTTTGTTTGTTCCATACTGATACAGTAATACTCATGTATATACTCTATATTATTCCATAGTGGCCTTGAAATGGACCAATTGTTCATGAATCCCCTTATTACATTCCCTTCAAACACATCTTGAAAGTTAACTGTTGAAGGAAAAAACCTGCACCTCCTGCCCCAAATGCCATACATACATGGTCCAGTAGTTCCATGGTCCAGGTGCCGGTTCCGAACGGAGGAAGGAACGCCGTGCCAGCCGCCTAAAGCCAGCCCCCTGCTCACATCCACTCACTGGATGTGACATATGTGACTCCTGGCTGGTTGTTTGGTTCAACCTCTCTCACCGCTTCGGACCCTTCCACCGCTCGAGGTCTGGGCACAGGATGGGATCGATGCTCACTTGGGCGCGGCCGCCGGACAGCTCAGAACGGAGGGGACCCGGTGGAGCCGGTGGAAGTCCTCAACGTTTGAAGCTCGGGATGGAAAGACTTGGGTACGGAAACAAGACTTATTGTATATTATTTACTCCCCAAAGGATTCTTGGATATTCTTGGTACTTGCTCTATGATTCGGTGATGAAAGGACTTGGTATAGTTGGTAGTCCTTTCTCCAGGTGGTCGCCCGCCACCTTTCGTGTGACATTGCATATCGTGACTCCTCCAATTGTGGCGTATCGACATATGCTGCGCCGTGCCATCCCAGGGCGTGCGCTCCGGTGGTCACACTTGGACCGGAGGTCTTGAATGGGACCATGTGCCGATCAAAGAGGTGCTCTTGAAGGGTTTGCTGTTGGGAATGGTGTTTTCGCGACAATTCTCAGCCCAGCTAAAATCACAATTTCAAAGTGCAGCGATCATTCCAAAATATTCCAAACGTGTGGTGTGATGCAAATGCTGCTAGAGACCCGAAAGCATGGTGCTGTAGTCACTTTTTCGTGGCCGCAGTGCGTTGTGAGAGTGTTGGGAGTGGCAGGGAAGCTCTGTCCAGTCTATATAATTCCATCAAAAGACGTCAGAAACCAAACATGCAAAAGGCAGGCATGCCAGGCATGCGGCGTGCGGCGTAAGTAGTGCTCCCCCCAGGAGCCAGCCGTTTCAAGTGCTTTGGAGCTTTTGATGAATGCTTTCATGAGCTTTCATGTATGCCCACCGTGTCGGTTGGAAAAGCACACCTAGTTTTTGGAAACGGTGCACATGAGGCACCATTTGGCTCTAGCAAACAGTTTAGCAGTTTAGCAGAACCTCTTCAAAAATCGCGCAACGCGCCTACCAAAAGAAACCTCGATCGCCATCCAAAGCGCTTGGGCGTTGTTTTTTGGACCGCCCAGCGTTCACCCCAAACGTCGTGGATTGCTGTGTTGTTTGCGTCGTGGGCGTCGAGGTCTTGGCCGTGATGGCCGGCTCGGCGGTCTTGGGCATGGCCGTGCTGGGATGCCTTTCAGGCTTCCCCGCCGTGGGCTTGTCGCGGTGGTCGATTCCCCTGGTCGATCTCGGCGACGACGGCTGGGGATGATCACGGGGAGAAGGATGGGATGGAGGTGGAGGAGTGAAACTTCAATTTGGTGCGGTTGCTTTTGAGGATCTCAAATGAGGGTATCAGATGATCAGATCAGTGCCAGGGGTGAGGGTAAAGGATGGTACTTGTAAAGGCATGCTCCCCCCAAAGTGGTTATTGACATTGGCTAGAGGGGCGGGTGAAAGTGACATTTAGCGTTTTATATAAAGATTGGAACAAAACCTTCCAAATACCAACAATCATAGGACTGCATGAACGACTCAACAATGTATGGCAATTTACAACCCCAAGCTCCATATTGTCACGGAATATTTCCGTCCATTGGAGTCGTTTCAGAGGCCAATGGAAGAGAATGGAAGCAACCATCTCACACATGAGTTTTTGGGAACCTCATCCCGGTGTCTATGTCTTCCCTCCTTTATGGTGATCGGGGGAACCTCATCCCGCCCACTGTCAGCTCAGGGCGCTTGAGCCGCATGGAGGCAGGCAGAGCGACCGATCGGGTCAGGCTGTGGCTGTGGGATGAAGATGTGAGGGTCGGTGTTGGTTGGGTGGTGATGAGCCCTGATAGACGCATGTAGATGTGGTTTGTGCATGTAGTTTGTAGTTTGTAGATTGGATCTTCATCCCTGGCTCCCCGGATGCGCCGGATCAACACGGCCGGCGGCCGATCCCGGGAAGTCGATCCCGACGTCTCCACCGGCCGCTCAGACGGAGAAGAGCCCACGGGCAGAGGCGCCCAGCGGGGGTCGGGAAGCGATCCCGGTCGGTGCCCTGTTCTCCCCGGTGCACGAGCGAAGCCGTTCAGAGTTATACCCCAGAAGTCCAGTTCGACTATATTTTGACCGGCTGAAGGAAAGGAAGTTCCCAAACTCAGGTCCCCTAGTCAGACCTGGTCTTTTTATATTTTTATATCTTTTTATAGTCTTTGACTCCCAGGGTATATATATATATATATGTTTTTGGTCCGGGCACCTGCGTAAGTACGGGCAACATGGCAAGTTAATTGTTCTTGGTTCGTTGTATCTTGTTATCGGTTAAAGCAAGGTAATCTTGTTATCGGCAAGAAACCACATGATTTTTACTTCCATACAGTACCCCATTCTTTGTAAAGACTATGGGAACTGGGGCTTCCATCTTGCAGTGCAGGATCTTGTCCAAGAGTATGTCTTTCGGGCTCAAAGCAACCACAAAATATTCTTCCAGAGGTTGCTTTGCAGCCTGGCACATGACAGGCTTCCTTCGGTATCCTTCGTTTTTTCGTCCTTCGCTGCTTTGTCAACTATGGATGCCTGAATCTGCCTGCCTAACACCATGGGTCAAAGGCTGATTTGGTCATGTTGGACGGATGACGTCCGTGGAGGGTCGCAGGATGTTCCACGGCGGTGAGACCGTGGAACCACGGCTTTGGTCGACCACACACGTCGCGCCGAAGCCGATGGGCCGTCGCACAGGAGGGCCTCGAAGAGGGCTACGAGTCCTCGCAGGCGCGGGACAGCGAGGAAGCTTGATAGACCAAGAGGTTGTTTTCCTGAGGTTTCTTGGACAAAGGGTCGCCAGGGTTGCTGGAAGTCCAAAGAAACCAACAGAAGGTGAAGAAAACCCTGCTTGGTATAACCGTACCATTCGTCGATTCGACAACATTTGGTTGCTGTAAACAACATCACCATGAGAACTTCGAACCACACACGCTGCCCCTGGCCGACTTTGGTCCCTGACAGAAAACTTCGATGGGACGCTCGCATGCTCTTAGTGGATCTCTCCGACTCTCTGGGAGAAACCATGAGGAACTCATCCTCCAGTCCAACCTACGACCGTGATGGACCCGACCCCTGCGGCGCCCGAGCTCACCAGGAGCTCACCGCCGTGCGGCCCTCGCCACCCGCCTTCCGGTATCGCACCAAGGCGGACGGCGCGTCGTCCGCCCGCCGCGGGGTTCCGGTCGACCGGTCGCGCCCCGTGCGGACCGGTCGTCCGTCGTGGGCAGCTGATCCGACGATATTTTGTGGATCGAGATGTTCTCCGGTGCAAGGGACACCATGTTGCCAGAGCTGAAGATGCGTGATGGCCTTTGTAATAAATAGGATATATGTTATAACTTATAACTTTATGAATCAACAGCCAAGATTACCAACGTGATGACCATCGCATCCGCGTTGCCATCGCCCCCCAGATGGCCTTTCTCCTCTGGGCCATTCTGCTGAACTTCGCCGCTCGGGCTGAGACGTGGAGCACGTGAGACCGAACGTGGAAGGACGTGGCTGTGGGTGGCGCCCGGAGCGGAGCACTGAGCGTTGGACCTCCCTGGTTGGACCTCCCTGGTCCAGCAAGGTGTGCTGGAGCCATCGTTTGACGATATGTCTCACAATGCGATGACCAAGACGTAGGGTCTCGAACTATGCCGCAGTAAGCTGTAGATACCCCAGAACTAGCACAGTGGGCCACTGAAGTAGGGCACTGTCCCGAGGGACGACGTACCACTCGTGCTCCTAAGGTGAGCGTCTTGATGACCGCCACGCCGCTCGGAGATCAGCGGGAGGGTTCATAACCCAGACTCCATGTATGCCATATATGCCTATATATACATTGACCCCCCAAACCCACCCCATGCATATATGGCAGTCCCATTAGTCGTGTCTGGGTTATGGTTCATGGGCCGATTCATGGGATGAGAAGCCGGACCTTTGGGCGCCATGCCCGGACCATTGGGTAATCCGAAGCATTGCAGCCAAGGAGATTCGACCGGCCCGGCCGGCCATTTCGGGCTGATCCGCTGAAGAGATCCGCTCTCCAAGAGCCGTACGATCATAGTGGACTGGACCCAACGGAGCTGATCCCCTTCAACTGCGCCGAGGACCGCGCAGTTCCTGATGCCGCAGATCCTCTCGGAGCCGCCGCATCTGCCGGGGAGCCTGTAGACCAGTTGGGTTGTGGAAGACGCTATGAATTGGTAGGTGGCAGGGGGGAGCAATTCTTTTGTTTGTTTTTTAAACGTTTTTATGTTTAAATATTAGTTTTAACCGGTTTTATATGAGCATCCGACAAATTCTGCGAAGACTTAAGCAGTCACAGGGTGGACGTGGGATAGGAAGCCTACCAAACCTGCCTAACCGATGGGGGCCAACCCATTCTAGGCTAATGTCCTTGGGCTAGCACAACTTTGTCCGGTTCTCATAGCAATTGACTTTCATTGATCCAGACCTGCAATATAAGGACGCACAGATCAGTTGTGTAATGTTTGTTCCATTACCTACACATCTGCTGAGTAGTTGCTGGGTTTGAACTTTGTGAGAATTAATGATAATTAATCCATTGGACCGTGGGAGTTGTAGCTGGGTCGCAACCTGTCCAGAATTTCAGCATATTCTTTGCCTTGGACCGTGGCAACCAGGCGGAACCCGCGCTCCGCTTGCCAGGATCCCCAAGAAGCACAAGAAGAAGGCGGTGAGGTTGAAGAACGGCTTGAAGGAACCCAGGCCGGAACGGGGGGGTTGGATGACATCCACCCTACTAGCAAACTATAGCAAACTATATTAGACCCTTTCTGTGTTTCTAATACTTGTAGCAATAGCCTCTACCCTAGTAGCGATGGCCTCCAACGTACTAGCGATGACCTCCAACGTAATAGCGATGGCCTCCACTCCACTAGCGATGGTCTCCACCCCACCATTGCAAGAGATATTGATTCAATTGATCAATGTCACATATGTAGCGTGCATTGGAGGCTTTGGAAAGATCGGACATGAGCATCCCTTGACATGTCTACGTGCCTCTAGATGGTCTTCATGAGAGTTGCCAGTGAGTTACTGTTTGAGGCTGGGGGATGATGGACTCAAAACCCTGAGTCATGAGCCTCAACAATCCTTAAACACACCTCAACAAAACACTATAATATGTACACTACCAGCACCCTCCAGGTCTCCGAAATGGAGGCTTTTGTAGACTTAAAAAAGTCGCAGGTGGTGACCTGCCTTGGCAGGTTTCGGGTCCTGGTAGATGAAACATCAACAGCCCACGAGATCATCACCCCACGTCTTCGGACCGACAGGACGTGGTTGCTGGACTGCACCGAAAAGCATCAAGGCTCACACCGCGAGAAGATCATGAGCCAGGGCCCCAGGGGCCCGGCCCCAGGGCCGCTGCGGGTACCGGAAAGTCAAGCAGCTACTTATAAGGGTGTTGTCTTCGTCCACTCAGCAGCTTGGGAAGTCCGAGCCTCGGCAGCTTGGAAGCTGGCCAAACTCGGGTTTTCGTGGAAAAAAACCGCCCGGGCGGAGCCTGGACCGCTCGCTTCCACACTGCTGTGAGGTGTTTTGACCAACAGCAGTGTGGCCTTCTTCCCCTGCTTGAAGGGCCGGTCCAGCCTGGCAGCCCAGCGCGGCGGGTCGCTTCGCCGGGGTCGCCAGCTGCCGGGCTGTGAGGAGGGTGAAAACCATGCATCGTCACAATCGGATGCGTCCAGATGCATCTATATAGTGGTTTCATATGATTAAACAAGCTGATTAGAGTGGTTTCAGAGTAGATCGCACAAACCCCTACTATTTTCGTGGTTCTATCGGTTCGCTTCATTCGATCCAATCACCAGCTGGAACAGCTCCATCTGCCGAGAGGGTCTTGAAGGGGAAAGGGTGCCTTCGAAAGGCTTCCGGGTAGGCAACCCTGAGATTCCCTCTTTGCCTCATTGTCATTTGACCTGTACTTCAAAAAGTGGTGGATGCTGCAGTCGCCATCGTTCCGCCTGAGCATTTCTATCCCATCGCCTCGCGGTCTTCCTCGGCCTCGCTCCGCCCCGTGGCACCGAGACCTGGCGGCCTCGATCGACGATGGGCTCCTGCCGTCCTCGGCGCGAATGGCCTTCAGCAGTGCCGTCCTCGGCTGGCTTCCGCGGGAGCAGGGTGAAGGGAGGGAGGGAGGGAGGGAGGGAGGGAGGGCTGAGATGCATCAGGTGAAGGGAGCCGTAGGAGTGATGAATATGCCCCGAAGTTCCATCAAAGGGGGTGCTTAGATCATGGAGAGTATCATGGAGGTTAGGGGTGCCAATTGATCCACTTAGGGACTAAACACATCTAAGCACCCGTTTGTGACTCCTGGGGTATTTGAATTAAGAAGACCCCCCCACGTCCCTTCTCCTGGTGGCTCCGGCCCTATGCCCTAATTAATGGACACGTACCAGCATGGATGACCGTTGGATGGCTGATCATTGCTGGGTGGAGTGAGAATAGGACACAAGATGACACAAGTAGCTTCTTGTTCCTAGTAATACCAGGAACTACTAGTAGCGTCCTTGTTTCTAGTAGCGATGCCCTTTGTTCCTAGTAGCTTCTTGTGTAATCCCTAAGATTCTTTGCCAACATCTTTGTGCAGGACAAGGGCACCACGAGTGACATCCGTAGGATGAATCTGTTCAACAAAATCAGAAACAGACTTGATGGTCCGTGCGAACCTGCTGAACGGACTGTGTCAACAGAATTGCTCCACTACCTTGCTCATCCCAACATATCCACCAATCGTTGGCAACTACAATGGATTCATCATGATTGATGGGGCTTCAGGTTTTGATCCATCCCACAGGATCCCACCAGGTCGATCCATTATGATCCATTCACGATCATGTGAAACGACGTACGTCGTTCAGGCTGAAGCGATGGAGAACGGTACACTTGAAAGGATGACCGTTAATGCCAAACAGGTGGTGTTCACTCCACGTGACCATTTACAGGAAGGCTTTTGAGGTTTTGACCTCCACTGCCTACCACGAAAAAAAAGGGGTCTCAAACGCAGGGTCATTCCTTTCCACAGGCTGTATGATGCGGTATTCACGGTATTGTGGCTGTGCCGGAGTTGACACCAAGGCTTTGACCCCTTTCCCACGTGTGTTCAACGTCAAGCCATAATACTGCCATACTGCATCGCTTGTTCCAGAAGCCCAGCCCATTCAATCTGCACCCCCCTTCTGCACTCACCGTTGGCTTTTGCTGGGTTGTTTCTGCCACGCGCGACAAAAACCGTGAAATGCGCAGAAGATGCAGGTTCACCTACGATTCGCCTAGAGTTGGCGTGACTTGGTGTGGAGGAGACCTGTGCCGCTCGTGGTGGTGTGGGGTGAGCCCTTAAGAGGTTCGAGAGCACCAAGATCCTCAGTGGCTGAGTCAGAAAACGGACTATGCTTTCACCATGCTTTCGAGAAAATGGCTGGCTTTCAGCATGCTTTCTGTATCTTTCTGTGATTCTGGTGTGTTTCTCTTCAAGACCAACAGACCATGACGGATGTGTGACATGTGTGTATGTGTGTGGGTGTTCACCAGTGCTACAGGCGGCCAGGACACACATTATTGGTTACTATACATATATGAGAAAACAAGAGATCGCTGCTTTGTTTTGTACGACTGCTATGGTCGGTTCTGGGGATGAGTGATTTTTGACTGGTTTCAGTCCAGTGATGTCCCTTCATGGATGATCAATAAGCGTCCAGTTCTTCTTTACGTGGTACCAGGCCTCCCGTCCGTTCCGACATGAAGATCCTGAGCTCCTCTTCTCGTCCAACCCCCCCGCGGTGGACTCCCCGGTCGGCCATCGAAGCCGCGCGCCGAGGAAGGCGGCAACCCATATGAAGCTGTGGAAGAACATGGTGCTTCAGCTCTTTGGATCGAAGGAAGAGCATCCAGGTTTGACAGGTATGGTGGATTGAGAGTAGATGACACAGACCCACAGGGTCGGTGGTTCATAATGAACATTGATGAACCCCTTGTAACCATCTGTAAGCCCTGTATATATCTGTAGAGGACATCTTGAGGTCTGTGCCATTGACTCCCTTCGACATGTTCGGCTCCAAGGACAGCTTCGACATGCCTCGCCATGGGTTGATCAGTGGGTTTATCATGAATCTGCATAGATTCACTGAGGTGCAAGTCTGGCAACAGTTGTGGGGTGTTTCTTGGGTGGGGAGATGAATGAGGATTGATGTGATGATATGTTGCTGCTGCGATGGTTGCAGATGGTTAAATCATCCGTGCAACCCAGGGCACCCGTGCCAGCCAGAGAAGGTTGGTTGTTTTCAGAAGCATTTGGGGGTGTCTTGGGAGGAAGTTGGGTTTTACAGTTTTTAAATTGGGGGGGCTGCTAGGAAGGGTTCCAATGCAGTTGTGCAAAGAGGTCCTGCTTAGTGCTCCCCGAGTGAATTCCGCTTCAGCGTCGGCTCGTGCGGCGAGCGAGTCGACGGGTGGGGGGTGGTCGGCTCGGCTCAGGAACATCCCCAGCGCAAGCATTTTGGAGGAACGGATGGGCGCTGCGTCCGGAGAGCGTGGTCATTCGTGGTCCGGAGAGCGTGCGAACTCGGACCGAACCGTGGGAGGTGAAGCGACGAAGTGGCTTCTTCATGGGAAGCACGGTGTAGATGAGCAAATAACCTCTCCAAATAAGCATAAAGCTTCCCCACATTTGCAAACAACTTCCCCACATTAGCAAATAGCTTCACCAAATTTAGCAAACTCTAGGCCAAAAAAGACAAACAGGCCAACACAGTCTCCAAGTTACACCGTTACAACCATCCAGCACAGGCTTTGTGCCAGGAATTTGCCGTAGCTGCTACTTGGTTTGGGGTGAATGATTTTGCAGCTGCATTCCTTTTTGACTGTACTTGGTTCGATGTGTTCCAAGGCTCTGAGGCACCTCCCCAGAGCCACAGCTGATAGCCGGCAACGGAACCCTACTGACCCGCCAGTCACGATGGTTTGAAGTCACGGATCCACGAGACATCCAAACCCGGAAACGGATGGAATCAAAGCCAACTCGCAGAGAACACGAGTGACATCACGTTGTCCTGCTTTTTTTCAAGGGCTGTCAAAGGTTGTTGCATTGCTGGCTTTGGGATCGGCAACCTTGCCCAAATGGAAGGACTCGCCAAACCAAGCACATCGATGGATCCCCCACTTCTGCAGCCAGCCGCCAGCTTTGGCTTTTCGCCAGGACTCGGAGAGCTTGTGTTCCAATTTCCGGCGCAGGCCGTGTGTCGGATGAGGGCGACAGATGGGCGATGATGATGGGAGGGCTGTAAAAGATGAACTGCCCCATGCAATGCCATGCAAATCCAACAGTTGCCCGACAAGAGTTTCTTGCATGTAATTAGTCGGACTTTAGCATCCTTTTATGATTCTGAGCCATGCGATTCTGAGATGTGTTCCTAGCGCTGCAAGCTGGCAAGCACACGTGGCGAGTTTTTGGGCGCTCTCGGGTGAGCCGAGAGCGATCGCTGACGTGCGCGTCGCTGTCATGTCCGTGAAATGCCGGAGGGTACGGTCCGTGACCCCGTGATGTCCGTGACGGGTTCTGGGCCAAATGCTGTTCTTCAACAAACCATATGTGACCCCGTGACACCGTGACGGCCGGGCCACATGATGTTCTTCAACAAACCATATGGGACATCGTCCCATCTCCATCTGCGCCGAAACACGCAGGCGCAATGAGCTGCTGGAGCGGCTCCCTTTGAAGACGGACTTCGTGGCCTTCAACCCGTGCGTGCACTCAGCGTGGACTCGGTGTGGACTCGGTGTGTTAGGTGAAGACGTTTGTGTTTTTCTCAGCAAGACGGGGGTGGAAGTGAAGCATAGGTGTGGAAACGTTTGGAGGGATGACACTGCCTGCAGTGGAACCACGACTGGCCTTTCCTCCGCATGCTCTACCACGGCGGGAACAGAGAAGTGAGTTAAGATCAACCTGATGGCGAAGGGGTGAACCGGTCAATGTGACTTGAAGAGTTTCGTGGATATGAGGTGAGAGGATTAAGATCAATTAAAGATACTATAATTAGTTAAGGTGAGACACATGACATAATTTATAGTGATGTTTAGTGGAGATTGAGTGTTGCCATTGCCATTGCCTACAGACGAGACTGACGTGCAACCATTCAATTGGAACTTGGGTCTCCCGCTCGGTGTTGTTTGATTCCTTTGCATTTTTTTGCCATGAGGCAGGCTATGGCAGGCTGTTAATGAGTGGGACCTCCATGAATTCCTGTATGCTCAGGGTGAGGGAAGTGGGACAGCTGGACAGCAAGCTGAATGCCAAGAAGAAGCCTGAGATCTTTGGCAGGAGGGTTGGTCCGACTGTCCTTTGCCACGTGGGGTGGGGTGAGGGATTTCACAGGGGCTAGGCGTTTTTTCACTGCACATGCTGGGAGGACAAGTCATTTCTGAATGCCCAGTGAGTAGTGGGAGAGAGTTCTTCCTTCGAAGAGAAAGAGGTGAAGAGGTGAGCTGACAACCATCCTCGAGCATGGTAGGAGGCTGCATGGCCATGTGGCTAGCAACCCTGTGGATCAAACAGCCTCGACTGGTGGTGGGACCGTGCTTGAACCTCCCTCACACATACTTGCGCCTGAAGATGCCTGAAGGCAACATCTAACTTTCAGCTTCGCCAGCAAAGCGTAACGACCCATTTGTACCATAAAGAGCAACCACGCATGCTTCACTATCATCTATATAGGTACCGTGGCAGCCGCAAAGGTGACCCTCCAAAGCCCTTCGAACATCAATTCTTTGGGGATATGGACGTTTCTCCGACTTCCTCACCAACCCCAAACAGCTTATTGAAATGGAGGTGCCCAACAAACACTCCGTTCGGGGTGGTTTCCGGTGTGGCAAAATATGGTAAACTAGGCAAGTGTATGCAAGTGTGTTAACATATACTTGGCCATGCTTGGCGCTGCCTGCGCGCTTGGCCGCGCGCACCCAGGAAGTCTAAGCCCAACGTGCCGGTCTACCGGCTGAAGCCCAACAAGGGGCCGGGCACGCCGAGTGGGACCGGGGTCCGGGAAATCACCGGGAAGAGGATGGACACGGTTTGAAGGGCTCGCGGTTTTGGGGCACCGAGCATGCACCTGTGTGGTTTAGAAGGCCTGAAAGGAATCGATTGGGGTATGAAGAGACGAATGTCCTGGGCCAGTGGATATATCAGCTAGTTACTAGTCCAGAGGGATCCTAGCGATAGGATTCTTGCTACAGGTCTTTTTTTTCCAAGCAGTACTCAGAGTATCTTAGAGTGGTAGCTGGATCCACTGGTTCCCACATTTTCCACCCATGGCATCCCATGGCCTCGTTTTTGCCGCACTTCGTGTGGGAAAGAGCCTTATATATGGAGGAGACCCTTTCCATTGATAAAAGATGTCCTACCTCACCTGGAACCCGCAAACATCCGCAAAATACTTGAGGTAGCTTGAGGTGTTGCGAGAGATCTTGTGAGGTCCGTTTGATATGATATATATGTCTACTAAATATCTCTTTCTTCTTCGACCCAAAGACACCGCGTTTCCACCGGACTCCTCGCCGATGACGTCTCTCGTAGTCTCTCCAGGCTCCCCGAGGCCTTGAACAACTACTACGCGCCTCGGGCCGCGGCGTTCGCGACGACGACGGCGATCGGCCGCGGAAGCCGCGACGACGGGGGATCGGTGGAGGCTCGGCCGTGGCTCTGGAGGCGCCCAAAAGCGAGGGCCGTGTTTGGCCGGAAGCCGAAAGAGGAGCCAAAGCCGCGGGCCGCGCATTTTGATCGCTTTTACATATTTGATCGTATTGGTCTACCCATCATTGATACTCTTTGGTTCACAAGAATATACATTACTCATCTATCCTGGATCCTTTTGAAAGGGTGTTTGGACCCAGCAAAAGAGGCACCACACCGCATGGCTGGGCTGGCTGGGCGGGCTTACGGCTTAGTATTCGACCCAAATCCGGAAAACCCGTCGACGTAGATCTGCCGATCTGCCCCGGTGTTCCTCGGGGTTCCTCGGCTCAGATCACCTTGCGCTACGCGAAGAAGCTCCTTCGCATCGGCTCCGGCTTCGACGGGCTGCCCGGCGGAAACAACGGAGACCGATGGGTTGTCTGGGAGAAGAAGACCAGGGGCGGTCTCCAGTCGTCCTATACTTATTTTTGGAGGTGGTATGGTTTGGGTCCTGGGTTTGTCCGAGTACACCTGTAGAGCCGTCGGGATCCAGAAGAACATCACTATGTTTGGAGGATGCCTTGGCACATCAGCGGCCCGACCCATGTTCTTATTCTGACCAAAACAACCGGCGTAAGAGAAAAAACATGGCTCAGCTCTCCAAGCGACCTGGAGCAGGGCCGTGCAAGAAACATATGAAAACATCATTGAACACGAAAAAACAGGCTTCTGAAATGAACCTTTCTTCAGACTCCGTGCTGGACCGGAAGATGAAGCGGACGCCCACCTGGTGGACCAGAAGAACTCAACGAAGGTACCAGTTTGGTGGACCCCACCATCGAGAGTCACAGGTGCTCTCAATGGCGGTTTGGAAACATGTGCGGTTTTCCATCAATCAATGTGCGGTTTCTCCCCCAAAGCGGATGAACCACCGCTGCACCGCACGCTTCGCTCGCGGCTGGGCGTTTCTTTTTCCGAGGAGCCAAAGCTTCAGCGAGTTCGTTTTCAACAACCTCTACCGCCACTGGGCCTCTTTTTCAGATCTTTTTCAGGTCGGGTCGCGATCTGGGCTGGTGAGATGGATCAAGGTTTGGACCGCGAGTTTACGCACCGCCAAACGTTCTCCGAAAAAGGGCGGTCAAATGGTGATCACTAGGTCCATTGGTGGCGGTCGTTTCTTCGGAATGGGTGGTCCCTTGAATCATGCACATGTTATCGGAAGGCATTCGACTCGATGCCGTTCCACATGGAGTGTTTGTGTTGCATATTGCATATCTTCAAGAAGGCTTGGAGGAAAATCGCCAGAGGGAAGGTCGGCTCCAGCTTCCAGCAGTCGGTGACTTGGGAAAACATCATCGGATAAGCCAATGGAGGGCCAAAGGGCCTCCCAATACCCCGACCTTCCACCCCTGAGGCAGCCCGCAAGTGCTTCTCGGCTGCATTCAGTCTGTCTATGTGGGGTTGCGACGTCGCAGCATTGATGCTTTGCGACATAGTTCGAGGTCTCTTCTGCAAACTGAGACATGGGCCCTTTAAAGAGGTGACGGTGTGTGGCGCTCGCCATCGACTCAAAGATGTGCATTCATTGGGGTTCCCAGGCGTGGCTTCCATGGCTATGCCTTGCCACCTGGCCTTGTGGGCAACCAGAGCCCGGAGCCCTGAAACGTCTTTCACGTAGCATGGAATGGACCAGTTGATGGAAACAGTTTTCTGCACCACACCACCGAGAAATGCGAAGTCAATCAATCACGGGCGCTGGAGATGTTCTGCTTCAAGGTGTGAACACCACATTGTTTTCACCATATCGGTACTCAGTTGTGAGTGGGTTTGGATAAGTCATGATAAATCAAGATAAATCTTAAAGATTCCTAAAGTATCTACAGTACTGTAGCAGTGCAGGATTCCAGGATGTTTTTCCATCAACTTCCTCTCTGGAGCAGACGGTTTATAGCATGCGCATTTTTTTCGCTGGCACCCCCACTGGCAAGAGTGGGGCAAGGTGAGATTTGGTAATTCTTCTGTCATTGAACAAACGAAGGCACACCGATGGAACCACATAAATCCTATAAAGAATAGCATTGCCTCCCTTCTTGCCCAGACAAGATATACCAAGAATATCCAATACGGTGGCCCATGGTCACGTCAGGCACAAGGAAAGGAATGGAATCACACCGGGGGCGCACACTCATATTTTAATCATCCAAGGACAAGCCTCTGCTCTAATTAGTGTCCAGTTTCGACCATAAGGATCTTAACATAAGTCCCTATGCCAAAGAGCTGCAAGGGGAGGGAGTTGCGCAGCAGAGATGGAGAATCCACAAAATGAATTGCGTTCTACTGTGAACATGCAGCCACCACTGGTTCCCTGTCACCATTGCCAGTGTGTCGTGATACCGCAAACGACTCCGCCCGCGAATCACCCGTTGAGACCGGTCAACAACGACTTCTGTCGCCAACGACCTATCGGCCCAACGACTAAGACCGGTCTAACCGTTTCAGTCTGACAGGTTGAGCTGAAGAAGTAGTCTCTTCTCATGTTTGGTGGTCAACCGAGGTCCCCCAGTTTTTGACCCACGGCCATTCATGGATCAGACGGATGATGAAGCCATGACTCTGGAGCTTTTGCACATCGATGAACACTGAACCGGAAACCAACCGCACGGAGCACGGAGCTCGGAGCTTGGTGTGCTTTCCGAAACACCTTCAGGTGGGACCCTGGCGAGCTGCCTCTAGGACGATGATATCGAGTCGACGTGGGAGTCGACTCCGGTCGTGGTGTCCAGGGCCGTGGGGTGTGGGGTGTGGGTGTGGGTGTGTGGGGGGTGACTCTGTAGATCATGTGATGAAGAGGAATGCTGAATGGCTGAATGATCATGCCCAGAGTATGGATGTTTCCACCCTAAAGAACTGGGGGCCTTCGCGACGGATGGATATCACATGTTCAGAGCAACATGGATTAGAGATATTAGAGTGTTGACCGATACCCTTTAGGTTGAGAAAGGGCCAATTGTGAAAGGCACGCATAGGCTTTCCAGGTGTTGACCATGGCTCAATTTAAGGCATTAGCACTAGAACGATCAGCCTTCTAAATCTAGTTTATTGGGCTGCAACTCAATGCTTCCAGGAACAGCAGACATGACCACACGCTCAACCTTGGCAACCGGGCTGCCTGTGGGTCAGAACACCAGGATACCGATCCGACAATCCGCAATCCGATCCGGGCTCTTCCGTCCGACTCTTCCGTGTGGTGGGTGCCAGGGAGTATAGGTAAGTATCCTCTGTGCATGGCAACCCTGTACAAAAACAACAAGAGCCTATAGCTACGTGAGACCGAATGTCCGCGCCGCACTGGAAAGGTCAAGCTACAGGGTGGTGGGGGAGAGCAATTATATGGGGATAGATCATATGGACTCACGGTACTGTAGGCTAGACTCAACTACTCAAAACATGGTTGTCCTCAGCTCTTGGTGACGTCACGGTGATGTCCTCATTTGTTTCGTCTGCGAGGAGATCGCTGAGCTGTAGCAAAAATGGTGCTCTTTGGGTTTGCAGGGAGGAAGGACCACCATCGGGCCCAATGGGGGTTCTTGTTTTTTTTTGCCGAGGCAGCTATGGGTCATCTCTCGAGAATGAACCACAGGCAAAAACACCGTTTGCTCCACTCGTGAGTGAGGCTCCAGGACCCTGAGGAAGAACCAGACAGGCAAGTAACTTGAACATCTTTTAAAAAGTTTTCACAGCTCTCAGAGGTCCTTCGAGACAACGTCAGAGACCTCGACTCATCCCCTCATTTTTGTTGCGGTTCAGGAATGTCCTATTTATGCCTGGTTCATGCCGATGCCCGGTAAAGGAGGAAGTGCATTCCGAGAATCCACCGACGGAGCACCATGGTGGAATAGGGGGGCCGTTCTCACGGTGCTGAAACCTCGATATTGAGAGCTCTTTGGGTGAGCAAGGGTTCATTGGTTTCGATGCTGTAATCAATGTGCCGGCTGGTTTGCTATCACCAGCAAGAAGCAAACTTGTCCGGCAGCGAAGGAATCTTAATGCTATGACACGTCCGCTTTTCATACAATCTCATCGCAGCAGTGTCTCCGTATGAGATTGGTGCTGCTTCCCAAAAAGTAACCTGTTAGTAGGGCAAGGATGGGCAAGGAGTTTGCCACAAGCCGTGTTCCTTTTCTGCACAATATTTGGAGGTATGATCCTTGATGACATCGGATTAGCATCTCACAAGGAGGTGATGTTTGTTGTTGCTTTTGGTGGCCCAAGAGAGAGCTGCATGACATGGCAAGAAGAGATGCCTCACATGCGGCAACATTGCATCAAGTTCCTCAAACACATTGACTGTCACGCGAAACTGGACTGGTTCCTCACCAGCTACCGCCGACAGCAACTGCAGAGGGACTGGTCCACGGAGGCTCCATGCTTCGTTTTCTTAGCGTATGCTATTCACATCACCCCAAGCTCAGGTTCGGAAGGACTTGCTGAGCGCCCAAGCAGAGTTTTTGTAGGAATTGTCCAGTCAGGACGTCTGTTTTCGTGGGCCAAATTGGACTACCCCACCCAGCTGGGGAGGCCACCCAACTCCACCCCTCTGCCAACTCCATCCAAAGAAAACAAGCTCCGAAGCCCACCCCGACCCCAGTTCACCGCCCCAACCCTTCGGCCGCCCGCCACCACAACCCTTCGCTCGCCTCGAAGACGCCACCGGTGGATGACGCCATGGCCCTCCGCAGCGTGGGGCGCCGCTCGAGGGCGCAGGAGAATCTCGGCCGAACGGAGGAGCAGCCGAAGCGGAGGGATCTTGGGGGAGGTTGGGGGATCTGAAAGGTGGAAGACCAATCTGGGAGATTCCTTGGCAGACATCCACATGTCGTGGATGTTATATAATTGCATGGTTTAGAGGTTGAAGTGGTCGAAAGCTAAACGAACACTCTGGAGGAGAATGTTCTCGAAAACCATCCAACACCTAATTCTTATCCATACTTATCCAATATTATAGATGCCTTCAGCCCTTCAGGGTGCTTCTTGGAGGCCCATTGAGGAGAGACGAGAAGCCCTCAGATGTTCACCCAAATCAGTTTGGGGCTTCACACTCTTCGCCATCTGGAAACACACACCCGGGATCAAGGGAACTCGGGGGAGGTCAAACTCGATTTTTGAACCACCACACCACCCTGGAAATCATTCCAAAGTGTTTTGGTATGTTTTGTTTGTTTGTTTGTTTTCACGATTCGGCAGAGCTGGTTGCACCTCCTTGGCTCCCGCTATGCTTGCAATTGCATGCAATGACATGCATTTGCATTCCAACGTGACAAAGCATGACAGAACAAATAATCACGGGGGGTTGGCACCACAGCGTTTGCATGGCATGTCGCATGGCCATGGTGCCAGCATGTGCACGGGTCAAAAGATACAGCCACGACCTCCCACTGACATCATGCAGATGTGATGAATAAAACCACCCAGGCCTGGAGATGAAAAGCCATTCCTAGAGACAAGGGGTTTTATGCATCAACAGTCCACCAACCCTCGATGTAGGCTCCCGAAACGTGCGCAGGAGGCTCACCGACAGCGGATGCGCCCGCCGGTGCCAAATGATGGCTATCCCTTCAGGCGCTGGACTCTACGAGCAGATGAGTTGATAGGAGCAATGATTGGAAAGACCATGAACCGAGGATTTTCCGGGGCACGTGGGAGCCTATCCATGCCATGGGTGCCATGGCTCTCTCATGCCATCTTCCAGTATACCAGGTGAGGTCTGAGGTCTTCACAGGTGAAGTGCAGCAGTTGTTTGATTGAGTGGACAGTTATCAGCCATGGAGGGACATGGAGCGACAGGAGTCCACTACATGCAATGGACATGTCAAAGTTATATACTTACCTTGGACCATGGGGGCATGTTTTTTGCAACTATTCGCCCAAAAGGTGGCGTGGCCAAAGATGTTAACAAGAAGAACCTAAATGTCTAGGCAACTCCTTTGCTTTATATAAACAAAACGACCATTTCCAAGGCAGTTCCTTTGCTTGTAGATCCTTTGCTTGTAGTTCCTTTGCTTGGAGGTGTTTTGTTTTTAACTTTCTTGTCCATGTCTCATGCACTGCTGGGACTGGCATTGCCATATGACTCGCAATCAGTTGGGCCTCATGACTCATGACTCCGCACTTGGGGGGTTGGAGCTTCATGTGCCAATAATTGGGGTCTTTGGCATGTTTGGCATAAGAACCTTCATGCACCGATGGGACTGGCAGCCATATGACTCGCATTCAGTTACCGTAGGTGCATGGAAAAAGCAAAAAAAGAAACACCTCTTGGCATCTCAGCCCCAACCTCCGACTCGTGCAGGGCGCACCGCGCCGCGGCGCCTGGACCAATGGTCAGTACGCATGGGATTGGGCGCCCACTACTAATGGGGATGGCTATCAACCATCATCAACCTAATAACAATGATCATGGCAAGTAGAACGGTCATTAATAAGGCTTCCTACTATGGGATGGATGTACATATGATCCACATCGTGAGTATGAAGGGCTGCGGCTCATCCGTTGGGAGACATGCTTCAGGTGTTTTTGGTATTTTACATACTAGACATGTTTTACATAGATGATAGCTTCCGTTTGACATACCAGATAGGCTTCCGTCTTTGGTACCAGACATGTTAGCTTCATCTTTTGGGGGACGAATTCAGATGGATTCTCCCAGCTGACGGGCACGACCAGCGGATCTGGGGAGGTCGGGCATGGTTTTCCGGTCTGATGGGACGCGCAGAAAGGAACGCTCTTGAATCGAAGAGGATGGCAAACCAGCATGAACGGCTGCCGGCCGTCTTCACTATTTGTTTAAACAAAGACAAAACGGTCAATGGCCAATCCTTCAACCCCGGGAAATTGGCATATTTAGTAGTTCAATATGTGACCTACCCTTTGAAACGGTGGCATTCTTGTTTGAGCCACATTCTTGTTGAGTCAGTCTCAACTCGTCGCATGTGGGATGAGACTCGTCTCATCCCGTGGCGATGGGCATGGCGCCCCCAGACATGGTCCGAGAGCCATTTAAGACATCATAGGGATGTGCGTGTCCTTTTTAAGCGAAAGAACCATGGACGCTACTAAACCGAAAATCAATTCCAATAGAGGGACGCTGTTGACGCTGTTGTCACTGTTGTCCCTTGATGTGTTGTCCCTCTCGTTGGACGCTCGGAAGGCCCGCCACCGATGCCGCGGGCGCCACCACCGATTCGCCGCCCGACTCAGGACGGTGCCAAAGATGCTACCCCGCGATCCAAAGGTCCGCCGAGTCGAAGACGGGGGGGAAAACGATGAGAACGATTAGTGGAGAAAGACAAGTGGACCAGGGGATGTGAAGGAAGAGGGGAAAAAAAAAAAAAACGAGCCTAAAGACAAGTGGAGAAAGTGGGTCAAGAAGCGATCTTTCTGGGTTAGGAAGTGGATCCATGTCTGATCTTTCTGGGTCCAGAGGTGCTCCGCGAAGCCTCAGGCAGCGACGCGACTCCGAGTCGCAGCACGTCCTTGCCTCCGTTGCAGAGCCCGCGGCTGGCACGCTCCGCACCGGCAGGCGGGGGAGTAGGGCTGCTGGGAGTGGAGCAGCTGGGGATGGAGGAGGTCCCAAATATTTGACACAGACACCGTTCGGTTGGACGTGGAGTCGGAAAGGATTGAAGATCTGGCTGCAGTTTGACGAAGTCGGCGATGAGCTTTGCTGGGTACATTAACGTGTGAAAAATGACGATCTGGGATCTACAAGACATGCACCTACGTACCAAATTTGAGGCCTCACCGCGCCGAACGTTATCAAAGGACCCAAGGAGAAGCCAAAGATGCAGAAGAATATAGAAGAATGGTAGGGACGAGGGATGTGATTGATCCTATCCACTTCCAAATCAGGGTGCTCTTTGCCTGTCTTTCCAAAGGTTTTGCACCACCTGATGCAGACAGACCGAACAAAAATGAGCTCCTGCAGGTTCAATGCAGGGTCAACAGAGGTCAACGCTTGATCACCTGGGCGTGCCTTATTCTGATCCCTGACAATTCAGGGAATGACACAAATCAAACATGAAACACAGACAGACGCCAAGAACATCCCACTGGGGCCAAGTTGAGGGGATCTCCTTCCAAACACCCATCCAATCATGTGTTCCTTCCAGAGGGTTTTGGTCTACCCTCCATCCAACAAACATGTTAACATGGAAGTGGAACATGGCCCCGAAAGGAAGACTGTCTTCCTCTACGGAACAGGCTGTACGAGGCTGTATTCCACTTCCATGATGGTTTCAGGGAGGGTATCATTGGATTCTGGGAGCTGCTGCGGTCGATGCCAGGTCTAGACCTGGACCTCAAGGCAGGCGCCCCACCACACACGCCTGACGCCACTCCCGGCTCGGCCTCCTCTCCAGGCGCGAGCCGCGACAGGAACACGGTAGAGGGGGGGGAAATCAATGAACGAGATTTCCCATGTAACCTATGTTCCTTGATTCTGGTATTCTGGTTTTTGATTCTGATATTCTCATTGTTTGAGTTCAAAGATCGGTTGTTTTAAAAAGTGATAGCGTTTGAAGCTTAAAAGCACCATATTTTGGCCACAGTTTTGTTTGCAAACCTGGTTTTGTAATCTTACTATGATCTTTGTTTAAAACATGCAACCCTCCTGGGGGGGGGCACCACCACCATAAAATGCATGCGAACTGTGAAATGCAGCATCCTTAGGTTTGGAGCCACTGTCACTGAGGACCCACTCAGGCCACTTCTTGGACTTCAAGGTTGTTTTTTGCAACCGAATAGGTGGTTAGCACCGAACAGGTGCACATGTATTTTCTTTTTCGCCAACATGTGGAGCACTTAGTATCAGTCCTAGACCATTGGCAGGACTCATGAACATTCCGGGCTGGATAAATATGTATGGGAATACCCAGGACTTTGGATTCCTTTCCAAACATACAAAAAACAACAACACTGATCAACAATAGATATAAACACATTGCCAGCTTTGGATATATATATATGTATATATATATATTGTTTTTTCAGTTGCATTGCAACCACTCACACTTCCCAGAGTCAAATTTGCAAAGGGCTAAGTGCACTTTGGACTAAGGCTCACACTAAGGCGCACTAAGGTCATCACACACCCATTCAGCTGTCCAAGCTGTACTGGTAGTATGTCCAATCTGAATGAGTTTAGAGGGGATGGACACTCTTAATTCTATACAGAGCAGCAACTATGAGTGAGTGTATGTGTCCATGTTTACCACACGGGTCGCTTGTCACCTGGATGGGTCACCCCAGAAGGAATCCGTGTGGCACGGGTTCGGCGGATCCAGGTGGCCACGAGGACTCGTGCACTGTTGGTCGCCACGAGGACTCTGAGGCGCCCCACGCGGAGGTGAGACGAAGTGACAATGGAGACGTGGCTCATTTGGAGACATGGCATCACTGTCATCGCTATATAGATGGATATAGTAGGGAGACATGGAGACGTGTTGGTGTTATTACAATTTGTCTTGGATGGTTTGTTTCCAGACAGTTTTGAGCCACCTGTATAAAACATTATAAAGCACCACTGTGCCTCCAGCCCCACAATACCCTATAGTTCATGGCCACTCACACAGCGGGGTTGTTTCGTTGTTTCATGAGATATTCTCCTCTTTTCCCACACCTTTCGACGATGCTCACCCAGCTCGGACGCTGGGCGAAGAGGAACATTCTGGCCAAGCCCTGTGGGTGTCCGAAGAGCAGCTTGGGCCTGGGTGTCCTGAGAATTCTTTTGTGGGTGTCCCATCTCTTCTTCCCCCCGTCGTTCTTCGAAACCCGTCTCTCAGCAACTGTTTCTGTCGGGTCCGGTTTCGCTCGGGTCGAACGTCTCCAGGACGACGAGGAGTTCTTAGCGGACCTGCAGGAGTTGGATGAGCTCACGGCGCATCTGGCGCGGCGAGGCGGAGCGGTGGCGGAGTGGGATGGAATGTATTTTAATCTTTTAATCTGTTTAATTTCACATCATTTCACTGTTTTGGTTTGGGTTCCTTCATAATGACTCGTCACATATATTTTTTTGTGTTTCTGACTTAGCCCATGGGCCATGTGTTCCCTCGGAGTTTCTTCACTGCAGGCGACCCGTCCTCGGCGCGCGACGCGCGGCCGCCTACGGCGTCCTCGGTGTCCACCACGGCGCTGCTCGGCCGGTGCGGTCGGCCGGGGTGGTTGCTTTGAGGTCAGTGGCCGGTCCTTCTCCACATTTGGTGGTTTCTTCTGATTTTCCAGTGTGATATTTCTATTGGGCTGGGCATGGCTGGGTCAGATTGGAAGTTCCTGAATTGTGGAGGTCATTGCCAACCCTTCCAAGTGCTCACTGGGAGAGGTAGCTGACGAGAAACAGTCATTGGACGTCGGGTGTGGCCCGTTGTGAATCGAGACATCGGTGTAGGTAACAGATGTAAGGTTGAACTGCTACATTGACTGCCCTGCTACATTGACAGTAGGGCCCTGCTACATTGACCTCTGAAACCATTCCCCCAATGTAGGTCAATCTTCCGTAACATGAGATGGACTGGGCCTGCCAGCTCCCCAAGGCCTGCTAGCTCCTTGGCCACGGCCTCGGTGGCCAACGGGGTGGGGGGCCCAGACTGCTCCGCTTCTCACCGCGGCCGCGGAGCGCGGCGGGAGCCACCGCTCCAGGAACCAGATATGGAACATCTGGATTGACAGATGATAATGGTTTGCCATCTGGTTTTGAACCAGATGAACGTTCCTGGCAATGACGCAACCATTGAAGTGGTGATGAAAGAACCATCAATTGTTGCGTCGTTATCGTTCATCTTTTTTTTAATGCCGATTGTTGTGGCCGTGAGTCATCAAACCTCCCTCACCAAACGATGGCAGGTTGACATCCCCTTTTCGAGGAATCATGAGGAATCTGTTCATTTTCAGAGGTCAACCCGTTTTGACCCACAGTCAAATGAAACATAAGATTCATATAAGATGATTCCCACACCTACTTTTGGTCCCCATCCTCAGGGCTTGGTACATCTGGTTTTCACTGGGGGAATGCTGGGGATGGTCCTGATCTTGCTGATGTATAAGGGATGTTCTAGCAGGTAGGAGGTAGCCAGACCAGTTAAATAATGCATAAAACACACGAGAAGCGCGAGAAGTGCTGATGATAGTCCCATATAGTCCCCACAAGCTAGCCTGGTCTTCAGACCAAGCCTCAGAAGGTCAGTAGATGACGAGTTGACTTCAAATCCAGTCTGGTGATTTCACTCTTACAACTCTTTTTTTTGAGCCCGCTCCTACTTTAATGAAGTATGCACCTACTTAATTAAGATCAATTAAGTAATGCAGGAAAGCTTCGAGGTAGGATGCAGGCTAGCCTCCAGTCCAGTGATTTCCCTTGATCCAGTCTTGCTTCCAGGAGGATTATGCCGATGCGAATGAGGCCCGGGGAAAGCGCAAAAACATCTTTTCCGGGCGCTTCGCCGGGGTGAGGTGGCCTAGGATGACCCTTGTTGTCCAAGGAGTGGATCTCCACCACACCATTCGTTTGGTTGGAGCATCGTGTTCGGACCACATGTTGTATGGATGATCAGGCATGTTTCGCCGGAGAGAGACAGGACGTACAAAACCCGGAATCAGAATTCATGAGAACCTAGAGCGGATATGCAAAATTATGCTAAACACTGCAAACCCATTGTCAACATGTGTTTCTGTCGGAAAGCAGCATTTCACTAAATAGCTCCTTGAGCACCTCACTTCCTTTACTTTCCTCCTTTACTTAAAGTCCGCACACTTGGGTAATGGCACTTCCCCAAATTCACATAACAGCCTTATATACTTACTGCAACAGAGATATATAAATTTATCGTCGAAACCCACCCTTTTTTGTTTGCTCCAGAATGAGTGACTAGTGTTTTCTGTCCAAGTTTTTGCGCCTGTAAGTCTATAGCGTTTATACATACCTATAGAGCCCATTTGACCTTTGTTGTGACAGGAAAAGGCCATGGTTTGGGCGGTTGGTGGTCCCAAATGGAGGTCGCTCAGGCTCTATCTAGGTCTTCATACTCCCCTGTTAGGTCCCGATCCAGCCGAGGAACACCAAAACATACAAAAACAATCAAAAACACACCCATGTCTCACCCGCCCTCCTTTGGATCCACAGTGTCCACGGAACCGCCACGGATCCGCCGCGAACCGCCACGGATCCGCGGTGCCAGGATCCGTTCGAGCAGTTGCAAGGAGCCGTGCGCGTGCACCAGGCGCGAGTCGTCGATGCACGTGGCGCGGTCGTCGACGTATGTGGCGTGCACAGAGTGGCTTGGGCGAGACACACGTGGCGGTCGAGCGAGTGACCCACCGTGGAGGAAGGTCGAGAAGGTCGCGGGGGGTGCAAGGCTTTGTTTTCTCTGTAAAGGGTGGAATATGTGTATATAAAGTGTTTTGTAGCAAGAGGAAGGTGAAAACAGATGAAAACAGATACTTGGTCCGGGACCCTGGAGGCAATGCACCAGCTGTTACACATGTTACAGTTGTGATTTCTGGTCGTCGGAGTGCTTTTTGGATTCAAGGCGCTGCTGTAAGCCTTGTGTCACATGACGTGGGGCCCGACTTTGCTGCACAAATGGGGATGTATTCACACCCAGGCACTCCATGTATGCCATAGTGTATGCCATATATGATATGCCTACATTGACCCCCAAAACCACCCCAATGTAGGCATATATGGCATACATGGAGTGCCTGGGACATGATATTCATACTGACGCTCAAAGACCACGGATCACTATCTCTCCTCTGATCATGATCCATGTTGTTCGTGGGCGGGGGAGTGTTGCAGGGGTCCCAGGCTTTTGTTCCACCCCACTGTAATGTTTGACAGATTCATTGAGATTAAAACATTTAAACAAGTTGGACCACATATAGTCAAGCTAGGTAGGGGGGGCTTTGATTCACCAACCATCACCGATACATCCGCGTCTTTCGTCTCTTCCGTGCCTTTGGACTCGCAGTCTCTTCCAGTGCTGCGCTGCGCTGCAGGAGATTGCTCAGCTGCGCTTGCCCCATGGTTGCCGCCTGGAGTCCGTGTCCTCAGTCGGAGGGGAGAAACTCCGTCGATGAGACCCTGAGTCGGAAAAATGTCGGAGGCGTTTGGGCACCGTTTGGAGAGAATTTGTCTACGAGACCGTAAGAGGGCCTTTTCGACCACGGAGTTCGCATGTGACACGGCCACGGACGGAGCCTGTGAAGGTCGACAGAGATCCCAAGCGCAGGGAGCATTCCTTCACGCCAAGGGCGGTGGGGAGGGATGGTTCGACCCCGTAGCGTCGCCGTTTCCCGCGTTCTCTTCGAAACCGCAGGACCAGCCAAGCCTCCTTTGCCCAACTCTTCTTCAGCATGGATGTGGCGGAGGCGATCCGGGAAAAGCGGCGTCATGCGAAGGCGGACGGAGGTTCCACAACCCACGCGAACAGTAGGTCATGCGAACAGCAAAAAGGTCCGGTCCGTGGCAGAGGGACTGTTTGCCTGGAGCATGGTGGACCCCCTCGCAACAAAGAGCTTAGATAGTGGCTTAGATCGGCTTAGGGTCCTTTGCAGGGGTGTCCTTTCATCCAATTTGGCGATCTCGGCTGCCATGAACAATGGCTGGCTGCCAGGAAGAGACTCCTCTTTTCAGGGGAACTCCAAGAACACCCTGTTCGCTTTGTGCCAAGGGGGGACTCCGAATGCCGTAGAACTGCGGAGCAGAGAGGCCTTTTGAGACCCTGGGGACCTGCCAGAACTTCAAAGGCCTAACTCAGCAGTGCTAGTTCATCTCAGGTTGGGGTGACCACCAAAACACACCACACCTGATCAGTGCAACAAAATCCCTGCTTTGTAGATTAGAACATGCACCAAAGTCAGAAAGAGAAACCATACTCTGGTTTGATCAAACAAAGAAACACCGTGCCCTTTTGTTCTCTTCACGGACGTCTGCCACCGCGCCCCTGGTCGCGACCCTTCGTTCGCCACCGGACGACTGGCCGAAGCACACCAACGGAGCAAGCTCCGGCCTCGCAGGGGCCTTTCACACCGGCCTCTTTGGTCTTCTGGGCCTGGCGCCCAGGGCGACGAGACCGGAAGTGGCTGTCGCAAGGGCGACACCAATCTTTTCTGGTCGACAGCCAGTGTGCACAGCGTGTTTGCCCGTGCGTGGGGCCTGTTCGTTCGATGGTGAGAAGTAATGTTGGATCATGTTGGATCCTGAAATAAGGGTGAATAAACACATGTGTTCCGTAAAGACGAGCAATCCCACACCCTGAATGGTTTATGTCAGCGAAACCATTGCTCGAAATCAACTATTCAAACTGTACCAGTACCACTGCTACTATTACTTACTGCTACTCCTTCTATTCTATATATACTTCTACTTCTACTGCTGCTGCGTCTACTAATCATACTATATATATATATAACATTATATAACGCTATATACTTTAATACAGCAGTTTTGAGAACTAACGCTATTCAGACTCCCTCAATCGTGTGCTTGCGGGGTTATTGTTTAAGATCCATCACTGCTGTGTATATAGTAGCATGTATTGACCATCATCACCATGTTTGTCGTATGTCCCACGGGAACAAACTTGGAGCTGTTTTTCCCGCCTTGGTCCATTTTGCCTCTTTGCTTTGCATGCACAAATCGATGAACTACCTAGAGAAGCAAAACACTAACAATTTGTAGGCTCCTGGATGAAACATCGCTTTTTCTAGGGAAGAGATGGAAAACATCGTCTTTTCTCGAAAAAGATCGTCTTTTTGGTAAAACCACTGAAGAATAGCTCCGGCTACCATAAACAAACACCTGTCTCCCGGATCTTGCTTTCAGGTGAGTGCCGTGGGACCTTCATGGATCCGCAAGTCACCAAATGTCGAGCATTCTTCCGATTCTTCCATCTGTGTTGGTCATCTTAAATTAAATAGCCTTTTTGTGAATTTGGAGGGCGCCTTCACTGAAAACATAAGACACCGTATTTATCCCGTACGGAGCCCGTACTTAACCCGTACTAACCCATACGGAACCCGTATTTTCGATCTGCCCCAAAAAACATTGTGTTTTGAGAACCCATATTTAACCCGTACGGAACCCGTACTAACCCATACTAAACCGTACTAAAAATATGGCTTTTTTGCATCCCTGACAACCAGATGCCATTTGTGAGTTCTTAGGCTCGTAGCTGCATGTTGAAGGCTCACTCTCGATCCGGGTGAAAAGTGTTCTTGGTGAGGTCGACATTTGGTGACTTGTGTCCGAAATTCAGGTGCGTGCTGTCAGATCCAAAACACACATTTTGGAAAACATCGTCTTTTCCTAAAAAAGATCGTCTTTTTCTAATGTACTACGTTTTCTTGGTATCTTGTTTCCCTAGGTATGAAGAAACAAAGAGCCTTCGCTCGTCCTCTTGGAACGCTCGTCCTGCGCTCGTCCCGTTCGCCACGAGTCCAGAGATTCGGTCTGACCCGGAGGGAGCAAGTTCGCCGTGGGCCCACCAGACGCCCCCGGGTCCCGAGTCTTTGGGGGGGGAACAGCACGGAACAGCGCAAGACAGGAACTTCAGAAGTTTTCATTGGGGCCCAGGGACCAGAAGTGGTTTCAGGTTTGATTCGGGTCTATCGTTTGAAGGGCTGTGGGGTGCGGTTTAAGAAGCGAGTTGGTGGTGGTTGGAACCTTAGCCTCCGTAGTGACATGATATGGGTTGGCATGTTATGATATATGATACATTAATATACATTACACACTCCCTGAAATTAACAAGGAACATCATGGAAGTGCAAAATGCTCCTTAGATGACCATTTTCCTCTCCAAACAAGTTGTTTTGCACTTCCATGGTATTTGGGGAGTGTATCCCTAGGGCTCCAAGTAGCTTTCTGAGAAGGTGTTTCAGCTGGCTGCCAGGCTCCCAAAACATCCCTCCCGGGTACGGCTGGAGCCCTAGCATATCGTTTCCATTCCTCCCAGACACTCCATGGGACTGCCATATATGCCATCCCATTGACCCCCAAACCCACCCCTGGCCGTTTCTCGGCAGTCCTATGGCAGTCCTATGGCAGCTCCCGTGTTTGGGGCCCTGGTCTGCCGAAAGTCGGCGTCCGCCTCAGGTGAAGATCTTCGCAGAGTATCCGCTCCCCGGGAGTGTGAGTATCCGTGCCACGAAGCGTGAGCTGGAGCGAGGGAGAGCGAGGGACGGAGGGGTCGAACGGGGTCCGGCTCAAAAACCGGCCGTGCTTTTGGCATGGAAAGTCAAAGAACCAGAAAGAACTGGTCGTTCCGGCAATTGATCGTCCTTTACATATAGGACATGAATGGACATGATGTGTATTTTTTGATTATATCTATATTTGTTTCTGGTTGTTTGGTTGTTTGGTTTCCCAGGAATATATGGAAAGATACCTTAATGATGATACCTTTCCTTCACCCCTGCAACCTTGCATGGCAGTGGATAGGATGGAAAGATTGGAGCAGTCTTTGGAACCATCGATGACGTATAGTTGGAGAATGGACCTATTGGGGTATTCAGTCCAAGCACCTTGATGCCCCTCTGCTCCAAAAAAAGTCCCTCGTTCTCGTAAGGGAACATCCTTTAGAGTTTCGGCGCTGGGAGTTCGTCATATGGGAAGTCCATGCTTCTAACGCCGCGATGTGCGGCTCGCAGTACGAGACCAGAACAGCGGGTCGCAGAACCGCGATCGCCGCGATCGCCCAACTCGCGCGCAGCCAGATAGTACCCAGGCACTCCATGGGACTGCCATGACGGACTGCCTTCAAAACGGCCAGGGGTGGTGCCAGAGGGGTCGGATGGCAGTCCTATGGTAGTCCCATTAGTCGTGCCGGTCCGGGGCGGCGAACGAACGAACGCAGGTATCTTCCATCCCAGCATCGACGCGCAGACCGGGGCCGTCGCCTTTCCAGGCGCGAACCCGTTTCACGGCGCTCGAAACACCGAGTCGGCTCACCGGGTCGGCCATGCGTGGTCGCCCAGCGGCCGGGTCGCCAGAGGGGATGGTTGCTGGATGTGTTTCTGCATTCAGTGGTGGAGCTTGGAGCTGCTTTGATTTTCAGCCTTGTGTCATAAGCAGTTTATGCTTATAGCATGTTCTAGCTTGTTTATGTTTTTTTGGGGGAATGGTTTTCCAGCATGGTTTTCCCTTACCAACAGGATCAAACAGGCGGGGAAATGATGGACCTTCATATCCCTCGGAGTCAAGCGATTCACCTCTCAGACGTTCGTGGAGGACACGCCGGTGACCCCAATCCTTGCCACTTCCTTTTTGTGTTGCGTAAAGGTAATCTATTAAGTTTGATGAATAGAGCGGATACCCCCGGTCGTGTACCACCAATACGATTATCAATGGTACCTGGCACCTCTCGATCCTTCCCTCACCGGGCCAAGTCCACCGGAACCCCGGCGAGCGAGGAGAAGAAGCTCCCAAGGCCGGCGACCGGCCGAGAGTGCCGACGTCGTCTCGGGGAGAGTGCCGCCGTCGAAGCGCCATATTGGCGCCATATTCTAAGAGGCGGAAACGGTGTGAAAAAGAGTGTTTGAGTGTTTTAGGGGAACTAGAACTATCGTTTATCTATTGTGGGGTCATTATAAGTTGGCCACTGCTGGCCTGAAACAGGGGACTGTCCCAATTCCTTGGCCAGTTTTTTGGAGGAAACTTCTGGATTGCAGGTCTTCATTGCACTTCCAGCCCCAGCTCAGACTGTCCCCTCTCAACCTGGCCCAGATCCGGATCCAGGCGCGGAGCTTCTCGCGGAGCTTCGCAGAGCGTTATTTGCACATCGGTCGAAGCCAGGTGAAGTTGGCTTCGATGTTAACCAGCTTGGTGCGGATGGTGCGGACCTCGAATGCTATAGTCAGGAAGCCTTCAAAAAAGGAGGAGGAACAATAGGGGGCCGCCTATGATGGTTCATGGGCTGTTTGCTTGGAACTACCGTGCCACATCCCACTGAGTTGATTCATCTGAAGAAGCCCACATGTCTTTCGCCCCTGTCGTGCAGAGATGTACATCTTGGGTGTTCCATGTGTGTGATCGGGGGGAAACACGGATAACCACAGTAAGTAGGTGTTGTCAGGTCTCATATGTGCGGGGTCAAAACCTGGAAACTTGGTCTACCATGTAGCAAGCGGGCTTCGTAGGTCAACCGCGCGGTCTTTTTTGGGTGACCCGGCCATATCAGGAACATGAGTCTGAGTAGTACAGTATGCCTTGGGGATCCAAGTACCTGGTACCTCCTCCTGATGGTGTTTGAACCCTCCTGACGCCTAAATTCTAACGTGTCGAACACAGAACACCGTTAGAACAGTGGATCCATAGACTTCCGACTTCCATTCCTCCCAGACACGACCCGTCTGGGACTGCCATAGGACTGCCATTCCATTGACCCGTGGCAACCACCCATGGCCGTTTTGAAGGCAGTCCTAGATGGCAGTCCCGTGTTCGGGTCGTGTCTGGGGATTGAGTTTGACTCAGGTGAAGTCACCCCAGCCGGTGGCTGAGCCGCGGAATGCGGATGCCTCCTCCTTGTGGCTTGGACCGAAAGTCCGTATACGGGGGAGGTATACTGATGGCACGGGACCGAGTCGGGTGTTCGGCAGGCGGAACGAGTGCGTGTTTGTGACTATATTACCAATGGGTGTCCAATGGTGACCTATAAGCAGTGTAGGGTGGTCCATTATACCAACCCTTGGAAGCAGCTGGTATATATTTGTTCAACAGCAAAACGTTGGAACGTCCCAGCCTGTCTGACTGACAGTCTTTCCATTGTCTTGGGACAATGCTGAGGGGGACACTTCAGTTGAGACATCACAATGGCGGGATTGTTCTGCCATGTCAACGATGGGAGTCTTGGACTCACCAAGTGAACCTTTCGAGTGGCTGGGGAACAACTTCTGGCAGCGGCTGAAAAACAGCTGTCAGTACAGCTGGGTCGTCGGAAGGCTGGTGCAGGTCGGAAGGCTGGTGGAACAGCTCTTAGATACCTTGCCAAAGCTATGGAAGACAAGACACACTGCAAGACTGTAAGGTACCAGGATCATCCAGACATGGGTGTCCTGGCTTTGTCCTACCCTACCCTTTGTAATTACCGGTCTCCATAGGGCCCAGGGCACCCGGACAGGAAGTGCTAGGCCCAGACACTACTAATGGGACTGCCATAGGACTGCCATTCCATTGACCCCCAAACCCACCCCTGGCCGTTTTGAAGGCAGTCCGTCATGGCAGTCCCAGACGGGTCGTGTGGAGATATGCTTCCTCCCAACGTTGGAGGCGTCACCGGACCTTTCCGCCATCACCGAGGCTCTCCACGGATCCCGCCGAGTTCCGGCGTGCGGTGCGGCTGGCGCTCTCGGGCGGCGAGGTGCTGGACGTGAAATACGACCGGGTGCTGGGCCTCAAGGCGCGCGTTGGTTTGGGAGGTGTGGGGCCGACCATGGCGTGGATTTCAGATCTCCGGGTTTTCACATGCAGACTGGGAGTGTCTCAGACTAGGCATGTCGATGGCTTTGCGAGTACGCTCTAAATGAACACGTGTGGTTTGAGTGATTGTAGGGTTGGAGCCTATGACACAAACAAATAGTGATGGGAGTCGCCAGCTTGGAACAGGAATGAACAGGATGAATCCTTTGGCCAAAGTCTGCACAATAAAACTCTGAGTCTTGTTGATGGACGAAGGGGCTGTGTGGCTACCAGGACCAGGATCATCCAGGATCCATTAAGACATGGATCTTTGCCTGGCCGTGATCTTTTGTGGCTCGAAAGATAAGGGTTGTAGATCAGTATGACTCAAAGTTCCAAGGCAACCTGAGCTGAAATCACTTATAACATCTTATAACTTATATAAGTGTCCACCACAGAAGGAACCATTATCATTCGATTCATGATCCATTGTTCTTGATCAGCTGCGGATGTACAAAAGACAAAAGACCGCTAGGTTTATGATCCCTGGCTCAACCAGAAGTGGCCGTCCCCTTCGAAGTCACTATTATAGGGGTTTCTTCAAGGATTTTTTCCCTTTCGTTGAATGAGATCTCTCGCCATGGAATGCGCCAGCCCTCCTGCATGGTACCACATTCCTCTGCTGCGATGGCCATGGACACGTCGTTGGAACCCACGCCGGGCGAGACTCTTCGTCGTGGTGTTCGTGGTTGCAGCTGGGTTTTAACCGCTCGGATCTGCAAAATTCCCCGTTCGAGTGATGCGACTGGGGTTGTTTTGGTCGTTTCGACTTTCCAGGCGAGGTTTCATGCTTCAAGAATTATTGTGTAAGCTTATAACTTAAAATGCAATCCCCTGCAAAATTTCCTCTACAGATTCAAGGCACCCAGGTGCTCAAAATGACCATTTTGTAGAGAAAAAATTGGGTTTCTACAAAATGAACCACCTGGGTGGTCAAATCTGTAGAGTGATCAGGGTAGTTTTTGAGATTTTTAGCAAAACCATAATTTACTTGGGGGGATTGATTTTATAGAAACGTCATGTTCTTACATATCTTTCCGTTGACTCGAGCATGTGCACTCACCCACCATAATTTTGTAGAGGGTTAGAACCCATTTTGTAGAGATGGTTTGTTAAGCATCCTTCTGTTTACACAAGGGTGTGCACCCATCCACCATAATTTTGTAGAGGGTTAGAACCCATTTTGTAGAGATGGTTGTGAAATGCGTCGAGTTAGTAGCCGTGCTTGGCCGGGCTGCATTATGCGTGCTGGCTGAATTTTATTGGCCTTTAGCCTTCAACCAACTCTTCAAAACTGCTTTACAAAAAGAGGCGGTGTACATCGCGGAAAATGGCAGGTCTTTTGTTCCCTGCCACCCACATCCACCATTGGAACGCCTGCGCTCTTGGTAATAAACTCGTGGGTTCACTCGTTTCAAATTTCTTTTCACCAGTCGGGCCTAGGCTAGAACATCCTGGAACCATTCAGCTTTAGAAGATTCTACCTGAATTGCTGTTAAATCTCACGACAAAGCAAAAGCAACCACTTGTATGCGTCAGTCAAGGAACTTTGATTCGCTCTCTGTCCTTCTTGGTCAACTTCCTCTTGAGCTGCTTTGTTGACCTGTCGTGAAACACATTAGATTAAACTCCTCTGCGCCAACCACATTTTCTGCTTCAACCAAAAAATGAACCAAACTGAAATCACTAAATGGATCTCTTTGAGGCTGGCACTCCATGTTCGACAGCATGTGCGTAGGCTTGGCCAGATCATGGGAAAAGAAACCCATGTACGTGAGGACCACAAACCTAAGGATCAATGAGACAACCACCCTTCCAAGCTGGGACCCTCCAGGGACCCTGATTTTGTAGAGATTGAGTGGGAGGTGGGGGGGATGGATATTCTTGAATTTGGCAAAGTGATGCCAGGTGAATTTTTTGATTTTGTTAAAACCAGGACTCTTCCGGACCCTCCAGGGG